GTCACATGGCACGAAGCCGATAGTAAAATTGCAATGAAATGGACAAAAACAACAAACGTGGTCATCAGCACCTCCGATTAGCACGGTTGGCTACGTACGGTGCGACATAAGTTCAACATACGTGCAGGGACTTTACTCACGAGAGATACGCACAAACCTGTCCCGTATGTCCAGTTGCCTGTTCGGACCGAGAGTCGTAAGTTCAGCCGCCACGCAATAGATGGCGGTGGTGGCGTCTACATCTGCAGAACGTGAAGAACCAGTGGCGTCTACATCTGCAGAACGTGAAGAACCAGTGGCATCTACATTTGCAGAACATGAAGAACCAGTGGTGTCTACATCTGCAGAACATGAAGAACCAGTGGCATCTACATCTGTAGAACGTGAAGAACCAGTGGCATCTACATATGCAGAACACGAAGAACCAGTGGCATCTACATCTGCAGAACACGAAGAACCAGTGGCGTCTACATCTGCAGAACCAGTGACATCTACATCTGCAGAACGTGAATAACCAGTGTCGTCTACATCTGCAGAACATGAAGAACCAGTGGCGTCTACATCTGCAAAACATGAAGAACCAGTGGCGTCTACATCTGCAGAACGTGAAGAACCAGTGGCGTCTACATCTGCAGAACCAGTGGCATCTACATCTGCAGAACGTGAAGAACCGATGGCATATACATCTGCATAACATGAAAAACCAGGAGATTATACAACTTTTGAAGCCATTCCCTGTGTTCAGTGTACACGCCGTACAACGTGTTTGAAATCGACAGGAGTAAAGTTGAACTTGCGAACAAATCGACTTACGACCAGACCTCTGGAACCTAACTCGTTCGTAAGTAGGGGAGCCCCTGTGCATACATTTTGTTGCGAGAACGGATTGACGGATGCTCCCTCTTACCTCGGGCCGCCCCGCTTGCTTTATCATCGCGGCGGTGCCGTAACGGACTGCAGCAGCGCGTTCGCTTCTGTGGGTTGCTCCAGCGACACGTTCTTCCCTGACGCTCCTCGCGACTCGTATCAGGTGTTGGCGGCAGCTGACCGCAACAAACGACTTGCATCTCCCGAAATAAAATTGGGACCCCCTCCTATCTCGAACAATGTTTTGATGCCCTATTTTCTAATCTAATTTTACAAGCAGTGACTAGGAATTCGTCCGAATGATGACATTCGCGGACGGCGTTTCTTCTGCGCGTCCTGCCACGCGGACGGCGACTTGGGGCGGAGCAGCGTGGTCACCCTGACCGCCGTGGTCACCCTGACCGCCGTGGTCACCATGGTCGCCGTGGTCACCGTGGTCACCCTGACCGCCGTGGTCACCCTGACCGCCGTGGTCACCCTGACCGCCGTGGTCGCCGTGGTCGCCGTGGTCACCGTGGTCACCCTGACCGCCGTGGTCGCCCTGACCGCCGTGGTCACCCTGACTGCCATGGTTGCCGTGGTCGCCATGGTCGCCGTGGTCACCGTGGTCACCCTGACCGCCGTGGTCACCCTGACCGCCGTGGTCACCCTGACCGCCGTGGTCACCCTGACCGCCGTGGTCACCATGGTCGCCGTGGTCACCGTGGTCACCCTGACCGCCGTGGTCACCCTGACCGCCATGGTCACCCTGACCGCCATGGTCACCTGACCACCGTGGTCACCGTGGTCACCGTGGTCACCGTGGTCGCCATGGTCGCCGTGGTCACCGTGGTCACCCTGACCGCCGTGGTCACCCTGACCGCCGTGGTCACCCTGACCGCCGTGGTCACCCTGACCGCCGTGGTCACTGTGGTCACCGTGGTCACCGTGGTCGCCATGGTCGCCGTGGTCACCGTGGTCCCCCTGACCGCCGTGGTCACCGTGGTCCCCCTGACCGCCGTGGTCACCCTGACCGCCGTGGTCACCCTGACCGCCATGGTCACCCTGATCACCGTGGTCACCCTGACCGCCGTGGTCGCCGTGGTCGCCGTGATCACCGTGGTCACCCTGACCACCGTGGTCACCCTGACCGCCGTGGTCGCCGTGGTCGCCATGGTCGCCGTGGTCACCGTGGTCACCCTGACCGCCGTGGCTGCCGTAGTCACTGTGGTCACCCTGACCGCCGCGGTCGCCGTGGTATAACAAAAGCGCTGCTCAGCCCACCTTTCACCGAGTGGCTCTTGCCTGAGCACGATCTGTTATGAGTCTTCGGATGCTTTCAGATCAAGTCGTGTAAAGCGTGTACCTCCACCACACTGGTCAAGCATGTCTGGGGTCAAGGGCCAGCAACCCTTGAACCCTACTCTCAATTGCTACAAGAAACAATGCCATGCCTCGAAAGGACGGATCAAAACGGAAACGACCTATGCCTGCCCACCGACTACGAGACAAGGAACTGCACGAGGCAATTCAGATTTACAAACACAGACACAATTTCAACCGAGAGGATGGTTTCAAATTAAGCAATCATTGGAAAGATGTTCTAAATCAAAGCAAACATTAAACTAATTTTCAATGGTACAGTATATTTATTCAAGTAGTGGTATCCCAAACTTTCACAGCAGCTTATTTCCCTTCACACCAACATTATGTAAACTCCCCCCCCCCCCCCACCGTGCCGGTCCAGTACATCATTTTATGCTAATTCCTTTGTCAAGGCGTTTTTTTGTTTCCTCCCACACAGCTTAAAGGACGCGACCTGGGCTTGCTGTCTTCACTCCAACGCTGTCCTCTGGACAGTCCAGTCCCTTCACCTGATGAAGGCCACTTGTGTTGTGGCCGAAACGTCGTGATTTTTTGTTATTTTATTTTTACCTACGTGACTTTACCGAATAGAACCAAAGAGTATGAACTGCGAATCATCAAGGTCAACATCCGTGGCCTGAGATGCGACATCGGAGAAGTCGCCAACTTGTTCAATGAGAAGGAACCCACAGTTGGCATCGTGGTGGAAACATTCCTGGACCCATCTGTTCAAGATGGAGCGGGCTGCATTGCAATGCCCGGTTATGTGCTGCCAAATAGATCGAGCTGCCTTATCTGGAGGGGGCATTGCGGTGTATTGCCTCCAAGGAATTGCCGTCCATCATGACTGTTAAAGGAGATCTCACAGATATGGAACTTGTATGGCTCACAGTCACCTTACGTTCCTGGAAGCTACTCATAGGAGCCGTGTACAGATCACCCAGTGTTAACAATGACATCTTTCATTACCTGGACACTGAAACCCTGTCAAAAATGACAGAGTTTGATGCACATTCCATCATGCTGATGGGAGACTTCAATGTCCATCATGCCGACTGGATAGGTAGCCGAATAACAGACTCAGCTAGCCGCCGAGCTCGACAGCTTGCAAGCTGCTTGCGCTTTCAATAGATTGTTGAATTTCCAAGAAGAGGTGATCAAATCCTGGACCTCGTCATGACCGACCTTTCTGCCGTATCTCGAACGATTACCAACCTGGGTTACCTCAAACCATAATCACCCAATCCTGGTCAAATTTGATGTCCGTGTGGACAGAGACAAGCCCTGTAAGAGGAAAGTGTGGCAATATAACAAAGCCAATTACTAGGCAATGAGAGGTTTCGTCGCGTCTACAAACTGGTCAAGAGTCTTATCGGTGAAAGACCCTGGGAAGACGTGTGGCGAGGTTACTGACATGATCTTTAATGCTATGACGCTGCTATAAATACCCAGATATATATTTTCAACAAAAAGCCCGGAGATAAGGCATGGTTTGATGAGAAGTGCAGGAGAGCTACAAGGAAGAAAACGATGCCTCTATCGCCAGCTCAAGAATAAAGTCTGATATATGGCTATTGTTTACATTTGTATCAAATTAAAAAAAGAGAGAAGGAACCGCCACACTAAATTTTGCGAAAATTACTAAAAAAACTTTATTGGCAAAAATGGCGTGAAACAATTTATTCCAGTAAATAGTGGCTTAATGCGCCTTATGATGTGTTTAGAAACCAAGCCAATTTATGCACGTTATAATCTCTGAATTAACATAAAAAAGTAAATCCGAACCCACCTTTTAAGCATTCCCCTCAAGGGGGCAAAGGATTGAGTCACTTGGGATCCACACCGTGGGCCACCTGGGAACCCCTAACACTGAGACTCACCCTGGACCACTTGGGAACCCCTAACACTGAGACTCACCCTAGGCCACTTGGGACCCCCTAACACTGAGACTCACCCTGGGCCACCTGGGAACCCCTAACATTGAGACTCACCCTGGGCCACTTGGGACCCCCTAACATTGAGACTCACCCTGGACCACTTGGGACCCCCTAACATTGAGACTCACCCTGGGCCACTTGGGACCCCAACCCTGAGACTCACCCTGGGCCACTTGGGACCCCCTAACACTGAGACTCACCCTGGACCACTTGGGACCCCCTAACACTGACACCCTGGACCACTTGGAACCCCCTAACACTGAGACTCACCCTGGGCCACTTGGGACCCCTAACACTGAGACTTACTCTGGGCCACTTGGGACCCCCTAACACTGAGACTCACCCTGGGCCACACCTTGGAAGATGCACGTGGTGCATCTTCTCTGAGTGCACGGGAAGAAGGTGCCTGGCCATGCTATTATTGGCAGTGTTTTGCATCGTCCCGTTAGTAAGAAAGCCGACGGCGCATAGTATTGTAATGGTTGCTACACACATCGCAGTATTAATTTGGCGGCCACTGGATTCCAACCGCGACCCTCGGCAACGAGCGGCAAACACGCTACCAGTGGGCTGCGTCGCTGCCCAACTTCACCTGTCAAAGCCCGAGTGTCCAGACTCACTTTCAGGCGGGTCCTGCAAATGGAACGTGTTTGGCCAATTCCATCAACGGGTGAGTGGCATCTCAGCAAGGAGGGAGGTGACAAGGTCTGGGATCAGAATGCTTGGTGGTCACAAGCTTGTCGAGAGGGCAACGCTAATCGCATTCGAACAAGGCGAGAAGCATAAACCGCGGTTTTGCGTGCTAGTACCCGCTCATAAGCCGCTTATTTTTTCATTTCGTTGGCACATTTCTTGAGTTCGCTCTCATAAAGAATGCCTTCATTGTGCAAGCCAAGGGAAGCGTTTTAGTGAATGACGCACGGACAAACGCCCATAAAGACGCCGCAGACGGGGTCTCCACCAACATTCGACCATCCCGGATCCTCAGCTCTACCAGGACCAGGTCCCCTTCTCTACCAGGTACTTGCCTCTGCCGGGTCCTCTCATCTCGCAGCCCTTCAAGAGTTCAACCCATCCGGGTGCTCGGGTATACAGCCTCGATCCTAGCCTGTGTCTCCCCCCCCCCTGTCTCATCCTTCCCCCCCCCCCCCGGGTCTCACCTTGTCTCTATTTCTCTCTCTCTGTGACCCTGTCTCTTTCTGTCCCAACCTGTCTATCTGTCTCCCTCTGCATCTCGCAGCTACACGACCCAGACTCCGTGTGCCCTGGGTTAGAGAGATAGCTCGAACCCAGGGCTATCTCTAACCAACAAGCCACGACTACTACATATCGCATTGCCTCGAATACCAACCACAATAGTCGCTAACAGGCAGAGGCGGCCCGAGACTAGCTTGCCAGCAACTGGCGCCTTGGGAAAAATTGGAAAATTTTGCCCCTCAAGTTTCCGTTTCATGTTTTTAAGTGTTATTATTTTAAACAGAGGAATAATTTGTCGGTTTGCCCGTCCGTCCAACCAATACATTCTCAGATATTTTGAGTAATTAATTATGTAAATAAATAAATGTGTCGTTAGCACCCGCCACCACCCGACACAGCCAAGGGTTCAACCCATCGGGGTGGGGTGCTGACAACCCTTACTAGTTGGCTGTGTCGGGTGGTGGCGGGTTTTAACGACACATTTATATATTTACGCAGTCTAACACCCCCAAAAAACTCTATTATAAATTAACTGTGATTCACATTCCCTCTACGCGCACGATATTTGAAATAATGACATCTTGGGTTATTTCATCTGTATTATTTTTTATTTGCATTTTATTTCTTAGAATTTCCCCCCCCACCCCCCAACTTAACTTGGCGCCCGAGGAGACCTCCCTACTCTTTGATTCTTTCGGTAAAGTCACGTCGGTATAAAATAAAATAAACCACGACGTTTCGGGCGCAACACAAGCGTCCGTCATGAGGTGGGAAAGCACCTGATGACGGACGCTTGTGTTGCGCCCGAAACGTCGTGGTTTATTTTATTTCATACCTACGTGACTTTACCAATTAGATACTAGTTCAGCACACCGGTGTGTTGCAGAGTAAACGCACGCCGGTCACAATTTGAGCAGGACGATAGGTCGGTTTGGCATGCATGCGCTGGTACTAATTCACTCTGCCACATATCTCCAACCCGAACTATACCGGGCGTGACCCCGTACACATTCCGTGAATTGGCATCTGCTGCGGCGTTCGTGTGGCAACGGGAATTGTGATGTGTGACCAGATCTGGCCACACCGTACCGCTGCTAGCGAGTGGGAAGCTCCATTCCAGTGGGGAGACCGCACAGCTCCCAGAAGGGGCCTCGTGCTCAGCGAGGCGCACGTCCGAGTTTGGTTGACAGTGGGAAACGTGGCCACCTTGACCCGATCCCTCTCACGGACCCGAGCTCCGGCCCCCCGCCCTGCCCGCGTGACTGGCGGTGTCTCCGTGACTGATTGGCGGTGTCCCCGTGACTGACTGGTCGTGTCCCCGTGACTGACTGGTCGTGTCCCCGTGACTGACTGGTGGTGTCTCCGTGACTGACTGGCGGTGTCTCCGTGACTGATTGGCGGTGTCTCCGTGACTGACTGGTGGTGTCTCCGTGACTGACTGGCGGTGTCTCCGTGACTGACTGGCGGTGTCTCCGTGACTGACTGGCGGTGTCTCCGTGACTGACTGGTCGTGTCCCCGTGACTGACTGGTGGTGTCCCCGTGACTGACTGGCGGTGTCCCCGTGACTGACTGGCTGTGTCTCCGTGACTGACTGGTGGTGTCCCCGTGACTGACTGGCGGTGTCCCCGTGACTGACTGGCGGTGTCTCCGTGACTGACTGGCGGTGTCTCCGTGACTGACTGGCGGTGTCTCCGTGACTGACTGGTCGTGTCCCCGTGACTGACTGGTGGTGTCCCCGTGACTGACTGGCGGTGTCCCCGTGACTGACTGGCTGTGTCTCCGTGACTGACTGGCGGTGTCTCCGTGACTGACTGGTCGTGTCCCCGTGACTGACTGGCGGTGTCTCCATGACTAACTGGCTGTGTCTCCGTGACTGACTGGCGGTGTCTCCGTGACTGACTGGCTGTGTCTCCGTGACTGACTGGTGGTGTCTCCGTGACTGACTGGCGGTGTCTCCGTGACTGACCGGTCGTGTCCCCGTGACTGACTGGCGGTGTCTCCGTGACTGACTGGCGGTGTCTCCGCGTCTCCCGTGGGGCTGGGCTCCCAGCACCATGCGCTCCGCCAAGGCGCTGCGCGGAGTGCTGAGCAAGTCCCGGGAGACCGCGGGACTCGGGCCCCGCTCCGGCTCCACGAGTCGCCTCGGCAGCCCTCGCCCGCTCCACTCCACTCCACCCGGTCCGGCCGCGTTGGCGCTGCCTCAGGACGAGGTGGGGAGACGGCGAGGAGGAGGAGTGGGGGGAGGAGGGGGAACCACCGCCCGGAAGCCGAGGGCCGTGCGGGATCTCCCCGGGCCCGGCTTCGCCTCGAACCTGGTGGAGTTCTTCTGGAAAGATGGCTTCAGCCGCATCCACGAGATACAGGTGGGTGATGGGATCGAGGTGCGTGGGTGTGTAACGTGATGTGCCCCGAGTTCGACTCCTTTGCAGGTCGACGTTCTCAGGAACGAACTAACTTAGCAGCTGCTGGGCCCTCCTCGAGGTAGACTCGGCCTTAAAAGATTCTCGTCTGCTGCCGCGCGGTGTGTGCGGACATCAACGCCGGGGAGACAAAGGCGGCTAGGCGTTGTGCGCTTGAGACACGGCAATGCTGAACGTGTTGTGGTGGAAATTGCGATGCGACCTCTGTACGTGTATCCTGGGTGCGCCTTCCCTGACGCGGCGACGTTACACCCCTTGTACACGGGCACAGGGCTCCCTCGCTCCGTCTGTGTAGTCCGAGTAGTAGATGCGTTTAAAAAAAAAGAGAGATCGACCGCACAGCCGCACGTACCGTAGAGTTAATTAATTTTAGTTTGTTCTGCAAGTACAGAAACTCACAACACCAACGATGCAATAACAGACATGCGAAATACAGTAATAAAGTTACGTTAAACTGATATTGCAATAAATGTGATATCTTGGCGACACTAACACAGATATAAACACATTGTGGTGCTGCTGCTGTTGCAGTGGCGTACAAACACAGTTGACAGCAACAACTTAACACACTCCTCAAAAAACACTTTGTGGCCTTAAATAACAGATATATGTATTAAACAGATGAAACTTTTTAGCCATGGCACACCCCAGGAAGGGGGAGTCAAGAGAGACAGTGAGGGCACGGCTGGATATGAGCAGCGGGCAGCAGGAAGGAGCGCCAGGCAGGCAGGCAGGGGAATAGGAGGAGGGAGGGCAGCAGGAATGACCAGGTCAAGATGTAGGGGATGAGAGGGTGGCGGTGGTGATGGTGATGATCAGAGGATGGTGATGATGAGATGGTGATGATGAGATGGTGGTGATGATGAGATGGTGGTGATGAGGGTGGTGGGTGGGGACGAGAGCGTGGTGGTGATGATGAGAGGGTGCTGGTGATGAGAGGGTGGTGGGTGGTGATGAAGAGGGTGGTGGTGGTGGTGATGAGAGGATGGTGGTGATGAAGAGGGTGGTGGTGATGAGAGGGTGGTGGTGATGAGAGGGTGGTGGTGATGAGAGGGTGGTGGTGATGATGAAGAGGGTGGTGATGATGAGAGGGTGGTGGTGATGATGAAGAGGGTGGTGATGATGAGAGGGTGGTGGTGATGATGAGAGGGTGGCGGTGATGAGAGGGTGGTGGTGATGATGAGAGGGCGGTGGTGATGAGAGGGTGATGGTGTTGATGAGAGGGTAGTGGTGATGAGAGGGTGGTGGTGATGATAAGAGGGTGGTGGTGATGATGAGAGAGGAGAGAGAAGGAGCGAGCAGTAGAAGGGAGCTGCACTAAGCGGAGCTCTGTTCTCACAGGGGGTGGGGGGAGAGGAGAGGGGAGGGATTCAGAGTGGGGGTCGCCACACAGAAGTCACGTGATTTACTGGAGGCTTGAGCTGATCAAGACATATATAGCTGTAGGAAGGCTACAATGTCCAGTCAGTGAAAATCATGTGAATAACATTTAAATGTGAACAGCATGTATTGATGGGACGTGCAGTCCAGCACTGTTACCCTGACCACCTGAGTTTTATTTCTGGCCCGGGCTAAAATCAGCTCTTCAAGTCACCAATGACTGCAAATTCAGTTCTGCACTTGGCGTCGATACATTTCAACTCCGAGAATACAACAAAAATGTGTTACGCAAAGAATATTACCGTGAATACAGGCTGAGGCCACATCATACCGTATGCTGCGTGGCTGCAGTTGTTTGCGCGCGTGCGACTGCACTCGTCACTGTGCGGCCCTCCGCGTGTTTCCTGTCCCATTTCCCTCGTGCCTCCCACGTCTCACGCCTCGTGTCTCCCCGTGCGTCCCCCGCGTCTCCCCGTGCGTCCCCCGCGTCTCCCCGCGCTGTTTGGACGGTCCCCAGCTGCAGCAGGCTCATCGGTTTGGCGCCATGTGGGGCACGAGCTTCGGGCCGCAGTTCGTGGTGTCGCTGGCGTCCCCGGGGCTGGTGGCCCACGTGCTGCGCTCCGAGGGCCCCGCGCCGCAGAGGGCCAACATGGCCTCGTGGCGCGAGTACCGCGCCCTGCGGGGACGCGCCAACGGCCTCATCTCGACGTGAGTCGCTCCCCCCCGCGCTCGCGGCATGCCCGCGTTGGCGGCGGACCGGAGAACCCCAAGAGCCTGGAGACCTAGCGACGAAATCGACGAGTTGGCGACGGCCGAATGCTCGTTGACTGCATCCGCGCGCTTTCGGATGCGCTTCTGTGGCCGTCTGGAACGCTCCATCCCTTCCGATGTTAGGAAGCCACTGGAGCTATGCACTTTTAAATCTAAATTGAAAACGAATTTCAAAAACTCGCTGTTCGCCTATTGGCGTCCTCTGGTCTTACACTGTGTAGTGTAGTAGAACGACACTACTGTGTTGGCTCGGTATGGGGGCTGTAGGCGGGTGTCACGGAGGTCGTGTCAGGCCGTGACACTCTGCGTGAACCCAACAGGACACGTGACCGGATAAATGGGGGCCAGGGGCCCCAGGGGGGTCACGTGGTTGGGGGCTCAGGCCTTCCCGAAGGATCGGGAAGGGGGGCGTGGCCTGGGGCGGAGCCGGCCACGCCGGAGTGGTTATAAGCAGGGTGTGGACAGAGAGCTGGGGGCTGTTCTGGGCTGTTGTGCTGTCAACTCTGGGATGATCTACGATCCTCGGTCTCCGGTCCAGGAATGTAGTAGTATCCCCGTGTGTTAGCTAAGTTAGGAGCGGTGGTTACCACCACCCTATGTCGTTATCCTGTTCATGTTAAGAGTTACCCGTTGTGTGTAGCTAATAAATAGTGTTGCCGTCCAAAGTTCTAGTGTGTGCCTGAATGTAACCCACTACAACTGTTTGAGACTAGGTCCAAAAGAAAGCTGTCTCTGGTGTGGACCAATCAGTTTCAAAGACAATGCAAATACTGTCAGAGCATGTTTATTGTTTGCATTTGTAGGGGTGTTGTGGGAAGGTAACACACAGCCACACCTCGGTGGCTACAACCACGTCCGCTATAGCCCCGCCCTCAGTGGTGTATGGGTATAAAGGGCGGGGAGCCAGAGAGCTCGGGGCAGTGTGTTGGGGCCAAGAATGAGGAACCAGTGAAGAAGGAAGGCCGGCTAGATTGACCCTGGGACTTCCCTGATCGCAGTCCTTTTGAGGGCCAGCAGGGCAAGCCGGTGGTGCGGCCCCAGAGCCTCAGAGCCGGAGCCCTTTTAAGGGTTGGTCTGGTTGGTGGGGTGCCGTGATCTGTGCTTGACCAGGGCCAGATCAGATAGCCTCCTCTAGCGCCTGTAGCTGGAGGAACTGGGAGCACAGGAGTTAGGCTAGATAGCCTAGGCCCTAGGGGGTGTCCCAGCGTGTACACGGGTGAAGGGGCCGTTACCCCTTCCAGTGTGACCCTTGTTACGTTAAATAAATGGTGCTGTCTCCGTGTCCCGTGAACCCACTACACATGTTCACCACAAGTATGTGTGGTGAATGCAGACATGATTCTTTGCAAAAGCTTTCTGTTTGGTGTTTTAACATCCTAACACCTGTTGTATTGCCAGAGAGGGCAGAACCTACTCTTATATCGTTTCTTTAGAACTGATTTTTTTCGTGTTTAGTTTGTTGTCCTTCCCCCGCACCGCCGATTTGTCGCGGTCTGTTGCGTACGGTGCGAAAGAAAGTTCAAAACACGTGCGCACGCTGCGCAGGGAGGGCGAGGAGTGGCTACGCATGCGGGCGGTGCTGCGCCAGCCCCTGATGCGAGCCCGCTCCGTGTGGAGGCATTCGGAGCAGATCAACGCCATCGTGGAGGACGTCGTGTCGCGCGTGCGATGCGACCGGGACGAGCGCGATGGCACCGTCCGGAACGTCAACGGGCTCCTCTTCAAGTTCGCCATGGAAGGTGCCGATGGCGCTGCCAACACCGCCACGAACCACTACTGACGGCGCTGCACGAACATTGACGCCAACGCCACCACCACCAACAACAACAACTCGGATAGGCTGATGGACTAAAACCACAAGTGTTTTTATTCCTACGTGGAGTGTCGTGCTTACGTTGGGCCGGCAGCGACGACGATGACAGTGGTGGCGGTGTGTGTGTGTCTGTGCACGTGTGTGTGTGCGTCTGTGTGTCTGTGCACGTGTGTGTGTGCGTCTGTGTGTGCGTCTGTGTGTGCACAAATCCTTGAAAGATCTGGGCAAGGTCCCATCGGTGAGCTCCTCCGGCGGGCAAGGCTGCGTTGGCTGGGTCAGGTAGCCCGCATGCCCAGCCACTGCATACCAAAACAGCTTTTGTTCGGCCGGATCGAGGGGGCTAAACGGGCACGGCACGGGCTAGAGAAGAGATGGAGTGATGTGGTACAGGAGGCCGTGGAGCTGAGTGGACTTGCCGATGACCGGTACCAGTGGTGTCAAGATCGGCCTCTGTGGAGGAGGCTCGTGAAGGATGCTACTGGGCAGTTGGAGGCAGTCGCCCTCCAACAACAACGGAGGGCGGAGGAGCGACGCTCACAACAACGAGCAGAGCGACGCTCACAACAACGAACAGAGCGCCGGGTGGCTAAAGCACAGCAAGTTGGCAGAGTAGGGGGCACAGGTGGTGCATCAGCCAGTCATCTCAGTCAGTCGACCCGTGGCACCTGGGTCTGCCCCGTGACCTCCTGCCCGCGGGCGTTCGACACTTCACGTCGCCTCAAGGTGCACATGGCCTGACACAAGCGTCGTGGTGACGTCACCGCCACTTAGTGGCGAATGGCGGTTGTTGTGTGTGCACGTGTGTGTGCATGTGTGTGCGTGCACGTGTGTGTGTGCACGTGTGTGTGTCTGCGTACGTGTGTGTGTGTGCACGTGTGTCCGGCAAAACAACCCCCTACCTCCTCGCAGTGCCGGACGGGCAACTCTGTCATGGATAGTGCTGTGGGGGGAGGTCCAATTCCGATTGGCCCCCTCCCCTCATGGCGTCTGTGACCACCACAGTGGCTAAACGGGGGCTCTGGACGGGTGCGAGGGGCTGGTAACCCCTCCACTTTAAAAAAAATACCACAAAACCACGACTTAAATATAGGCCTGGCCCAAGCGTCGTTGTGACGTCACCGCCACTTAGTGGCGAATGGCGGTTATTGTGTGTGTGGCACATGTGTCTGTGCGTCTGGGGAGCGGTAATGTAGCGGTTAGCGCGCTGCGCTATGAACCTGGCGACCCGGGTTCGATTCCCGCTCACGGCCAACACCAGTGACGATTATCTGAACCGGTCCCGGGCCTCCCCTAGGTCGACCCAGCCTCAAATGAGTACCTGGTGCGGTGTGTAAACGTTGCCACTAGGGAGACAAAGGCGGTCGGGCGTGGTGCTGGCCACCCACCCCCTTGTGTACCCGTTCCGGCCTTCATAGGTGCTTGCTAACAGCACTTGCCCCTACAGTCTGTTAAGGCTACACGGGGGATCTTTGTTTTGTGTGTGTGTGTGCGCGTGCAGGCATGGCGAGCGTGCTTTTCGAGAGGCGGCTGGGCTGCCTGGCCCCCGAGGTGCCCGCCGACACGCGCGACTACATCGCCGCGCTGCAGCTCATGTTCAGCATGTTCAAGACCACCATGTACGCCGGAGCCATCCCTCACTGGCTCAGGCCCGTGCTGCCGGGGCCCTGGGAAGACTTCTGCCGTTCATGGGATGGGCTGTTCCGCTTCAGTGAGTGGCCCAGGGGAGTATTGGGGGGCGTGGGGGCCGTGGGTGGCGCAGGGACTGGGAGGGCGATGGCGTTGTGGCCACTGTCGGGGGAGTCGAGAGGGTGGATACCCCCCCCCCCCCAGCTCCCTGCAGTGGTGGTAGGTTTCAAACAAAGCTTAGGCCCCTCCAAGTCTCCTGTCTTGTCTGCATGGTTCATCTCTCGCTTCACCAAGTCTCAGTTGTTGTCTACAGGTCTCTCACCTCACCACATCTCTATCTCGTGTCTACGTCTCATCTGCCATCTCACCAGGATTTGATTAATTGAAAGGGGTGGGGGAGCCCACCAAAAAATAATTTCTGATTTGGGCCCCCAATCAGCCAACACCACCACCTAAGAGGCTTCAGAGACCGTTCTCAAAGTTAGAACAGCGCGGAGAGATGAGAGAGGCACAGGTCGAGGGATCCGGAGATGGAGTGGCTCCTCCGACCCTCATAACATCTGCCATGTTGTGTCCATAATATGTAATTGTGCTTGCAACCTCAACACCTTAAGATGTCCCCAAACAAGTCTTCCATCACACTGAGATGTTTTCTCATTTGTCCACAAACATCTTGAGATGGTTTCTCATCATCCCATTAATATGGCTTCTTTCAAGTCAATGAATACCTTGAGATGCCTTTGCATGTCAATAAACATATTGAGATGGTCCTTAAGAAGTCCATCAGTAAACTTCAGATGAATCTCTCACAGGTCCACACCCAATCCTCTCCCGGCACACTCCCTCACGTGACCAACGCACCCGCTCGTGCTGCCCCCCCCCCCCGCTCCCTCACGTGACCAACGCCCCCGCTGGTGCTGCCCCCCCCGCTCCCTCACGTGATCAACGCCCCCGCTCGTGCTGCCCCCCCCCCCCTCACGTGACCAACGCCCCCGCTCGTGCTGCCCCCCCCCCGCTCCCTCACGTGACCAACGCCCCCGCTCGTGCTGCCCACCCCCCCGCTCCCTCACGTGACCAACGCCCCCGCTCGTGCTGCCCCCCCCCCCGCTCCCTCACGTGACCAACGCCCCCGCTCGTGCTGCCCCCCCCCCACCCGTGCCCCATCAGGCGAGATTCACGTGGACGCGCGTGCGCGGGAGCTCGAGGAGGAGCGGGCGACGGGCGGCGCCGCGCGGGGGCAAGCGGGGTTCCTGACCGAGCAGCTCACGTCGGGCGCGCTCTCGCGACAGGAGCTCTACGCCAACGTGACCGAGATGCTCCTGGCCGGCGTGGACACGGTGCGGAGACCCACGGCCGCGTCCCACGCCGCGCCGACACCGGCCATGCGCCACCCAAACCCCGGCGCATGAACGAGTGTTCACGACAAACAGCGACACAAATATTCGTCGACCAAAAGGGGAAAAATCATCGAGGGCGACGACTGGCGCCCGGCAGGGACGGGCGTGAGCCGCGTAGCGCGACGAGACGAAAGTGACCATCCTCGATGGAGGACGCGGACTGAGACGACTTTTAGTCGCGTTGCTCGGGACTGGGGTGTGCTCGCGAGCACCGCGCATGGTGAACGGCTACACGGGTCAACAATGAGATTTACCGAGTTCACCTATTGGCTGACCAGATAATATTGCTGTTTGGTTCTTTCGGTAAAGTCACGTAGAAATAAAATAAATATTAGAATACGACGTTTCCGATTGCAACACGAGCAATCGTCATCAGGTATGAATGAATGCAAGCTCTGGGAGAGACACATATGCAAGAGACAACATAGACACGGAGAGAGACGCATACACAGAGGGAGAGACACGCAGAGAGACGCATACACAGAGGGAGAGACACACACAGAGAGACAAACACAGAGAGACACAGAGAGAGACACACAGAGAGAGAGACACACATGGGGGAGAGACACACAGAGAGAGACACACATGGGAGAGAGACACACATGGGGGAGAGACACACAGAGAGAGACACACGCAGAGACAGACACACAGAGACACACAGAGATACAACGCCTCTGTGACGAGGCATTTATAGATAGAGAGGGGGGGAGCAGAGAAATTAGCAATTGGAAGTTTGACAAACCTAGTGAACAATTTTAGAGAGCGGCAGGGGGAGAGAAATTGGAAGTTTGAGAAAACAAGCCTCGTAAACTTAGAAATGTAATACAATGCAACGCAGAGAGTTGGCTAACACAACAGTTAACACTTTACCTGGTTGATTACGTTCTTCAAAAGATTTCTAAATTTGAAGTTAAGTGTGAGTTGTGTGGAAATCCTCCTCGTAGAGGTGGTTCAAACTTGATTTGAAGCTTTCGTGAATGCAGGAATTACTTTGGTTCTTTCGGTAAAGTTCTTTCAGATAATATTGTTGGCGGGGGGGGGGATTGGGTGCCCCTCACACCAACATCGAATCATTGTATGAACCCAAATTGTGTTGCATTGCGAGTGCCAACATTCCCGCGTGCCTCCCGTGCCTCACGGTGCCCGTGTCTCCACGCCACAGACGTCCTTCACAATGTCGTGGTGCCTGGATCTGCTGGCGCGCCACCCGCTCACCCAGGAGGCCGTGCTGCGCGAGGTTCGCGAGCGGGGGCCGTCGGGGGGGTGGGCCCCGTCAGCCGAGCACGTGGCGGAAATGCCACTGCTGCGAGGGGTCCTCAAGGAGACGCTCAGGTACGGGGTGAGGCGGGGGGTGAAGGCCCTGGGGCCTTCAGCCATGAGGCCCCTTTCCGGACGAGCACTCCGAGCCGCGTCGACCTCGCCATGGCGCTGTTACTCAACTTCTGGTCTTTGGTCAGCTGGTGCCACGTCGCCCCACGGTAGTGCCATAATCAGATCATTACGCATCAACGTGGTCCCTGCAATCCTGTGTTGGTCTTCCTCTTGTCCGCGCTCTCGTCTCCACGTTCCGATTCACCGCCCGCCTCGCCGCGCGGCCCTCGCCGCGTTAATGGTCTCCTCCTGGTGACATCCTCCATTGGTGGACCGTCCCGGGTCGTCTCCTGACCTCCTCGCTGGTGACCCTGACCTGGGACGTGGAGCCGATTCATTGATTAGAAATGATCATCGGCTACTTTCTTTTCGCGGCCAATCCCTCAGAGGAGGCAGTTGTCCCCTCCAGGTGACGCTCGACCTGACGAGTCTACCGATGTCGTCAAGCCCCACCCATCACTTCCCGCGGGAAGAGGCGAGGGATACATTTTTCCCCCCCCAACTGTTTTGGTATCATCGATGCGTCCAGTAATCGGATCGAGAATCAGTAAAGTAATCCAGTCATTTTCAGACATCCGAGTCCAGGAATTGACTCATCCTGATAAAGGAAATAAAAGCGTTTCTTACACGACCCATCAGCCGTACAGTTTTCGGGGAGTATACAATTTCAGCAGCATGGTTTGCAAGACAAGCACAACTCTGGAATTTTGTTTTGCGGCAGTGAAACAACACTGCCGATATTACGCATTCCCAGAAGGCCGTGCGGCTGATGGGTTCTGTAAGCAACTCTGTTGATGTGGAGTGACATATCTGTGAGACACATTGGCTACTTAATCATTTAATTTATATTCTCCACGACGATCATGATTACTTTTGAGCTGCACATTATCCTGATGGTCAGCATGGTTGTGATGGTGGCATTGGTGGTGACGTCGGTGCTGTTGTGTCGCACAGGTTGTACCCGGTGTTGCCAGGCAACGGCAGAGTGACTCAGACAGACATGGTACTGGGAGGTCACCACATCCCCAAAGGAGTGAGGATCTCACACCACCACTGCCTCTTCCCATCACCTTGCCCGTGATGCCGCGTGGGTGGGTCCGTGTGTTTAACGTGGGGGAGACAAAGGTGGCTAAGGATCTTGCTGCCCACACCACGACCCTTTATCATCGCTCTGCAGTCCACTGGCAGCATTGGCGAAACATTGTACGAAAAATTCCCACCCGGTTCAATGCCGGACCTAGCCTGGAAATTGCCTATTCTACTATACAATCAGTCCAATGTCGGGATGTCCCCAACCACAAACACTGAAGGGTGCGTGTAGAGAAAAGGCAGCCGGGCATGGTTCTGGCTACACCACCCCCCCACCCCCCGCCCCCACCCCCTCGTGTGCCGTACCGGCCTTCATAAGTGCTCGCGAAGAGCATTTGCCCCAGTGGCCTGTGTAGGGGGGGGGGGGGAGAACGTGGCCTTGTGTATGGCCAAGAGCGACACCGGCCACAGCCGGTGTTCACGCACTGCCCTCCGATTCCCGCGGTCCTCGGTGCCAACGCGCCTCGTCGCCCCCGCGTCTCCCGTTGCACCCGCAGACCCAACTGGCAATGTGCCACTACAGCACCTCGCACGACCCGGCCACGTTCCCGCAGCCCGAGAGCTTCCGCCCCGAGCGCTGGCTCCGCGACGGGGCCTCCAGGGGTGGGCCAGCGGGGCCCCACGGTGACGGCAGCGGTGAGGGGGAGGAGGAGGAGGGGGAGGAGGAGGAGGAGGCAGCGCACCGGTGCCCCGAGTCCGCTCACGAGTCGTGGCACTCGCAGGGGTTCGCGTCGATCCCGTTCGGGTACGGGGTCCGCAGCTGCATCGGGCGGCGCGTGGCCGAGTTGGAGATTCACCTGGCGCTGGCTCGGGTGAGCACGAGCACACACGCATACACACCCCACGCACGGACACGCATTGAGTAGTGCAATACAATTCGGATTCGTATGGCATCTCAAAGGAACACCGCAAGTGTAGGGTTAGTTTTATTTATTTTTTTCCCCAGTTGCGCTATCGGTGTCGCGAGACGAACAATCCATTCTGAAGTCCAGCAGAGCACCGTGACCCTTCGTGGTCGATAACGGCCTGCAAGTAACCCGGTCACAACAGCAGAGGGCAGCACGTGCACACTCACTCTTTTCAAGAGGGCACCGTACATCAAATTACGATCGAAAGGATGTTTTTGATTCCCAGAGTTGGAACGTGGACAAATTAAGGGCAAACCCAAATTTAGTGTGATAGGTTTTGTTGTGCAATCATTGGTGATCAAGCTTCGACAATCAACTCACTGCACTCGAGAATATGATCGTGACCGTGGCCAGAATGCAACCTTGTTAATACACCCACAGTAATAACCACGGCGACCTGCCAGATTCGAACTGCAAACCCCTGCAACAAGCGGCGAACACGCTTACCGCAGGGCCACGATCATAACCCCACACACACGCGCGCCCACACGAGACTCGTACACTGGCACGTCCGTGCCTGACCGTTGCCCTGAGCCTGCGCCTCGACGCGATGTCGCCCCTTCTCCTTCCCCGTCTTCCTCACAGCTGCTGCTCGAGTTCCGCTTGGAGGTGCTGCCCGGGGCCCCTCGTGTCCCAGCCAAGACGCACGGGCTCCTGGGGCCTGGGGGCAGCATTGACCTGCGCTTTGTGGACCGTCGCTCATGACTCGCCCGTGCTCACCACCCGACTCACGCTCACCCGTGCTCACCACCCGACTCACGCTCACCCGTGCTCACCACCTGACTCACGCTCACCCGTGCTCACCACCCGACTCACGCTCACCCGTGCTCACCACCCGACTCACGCTCACCCGTGCCCACCACCTGACTCACGCTCACCTGTGCTCACCACCTGTCCAACGCTCACCTCTGCCTTTCACCTTTACTGACCACCTGATCGTCTCCACCCACGCCCAGATATTTCACCCGACCAGAAGACACAGCAACGGTGTAATTAAGTTGTTATATAGACCTGTAAGTGGGTTGATAATTGTTTTTTGTCGGGTTCGATCGTGTAGGTATAACGTCAATTAGAGCTATGCTCACCCTCCACCACCAAAAGGATGTGTCACGTCGTGGACAAATGTGCCAACTTATTTTGTTTTGTCATCAAAAAGAAAACCGGTTACGTGGAAAATCGGGCAAAATGTTGACAATTTTGCACCGCGTTTCGCTGGAGATTAACACCCAGCCGTCATTCGGCGTGAGCAAGGGCCTCGAGTAGACGGGCGAGCGGATCCTGTGTCCTTGAGCAGGTGGTGGTGTCCTTGAGCAGGTGGTGGTGTCCTTGAGCAGGTGATGGTGACGTTGAACAGGTGGTGTCCTTGAGCAGGTGGTGGTGTCCTTGAGCAGGTGGTGTCCTTGAGCAGGTGATGGTGACCTTGAACAGGTGGTGTCCTTGAGCAGGTGGTGGTGTCCTTGAGCAGGTGGTGGTGTCCTTGAGCAGGTGGTGGTGACCTTGAACAGGTGGTGGTGACCTTGAACAGGTGGTGGTGCCCACGCACCACAATCCCAGACTTGTCGGCGTCGTCGCAAAGAAATTTGCGCATAGCACACGCGCGAACCGTGTTCGTCACAATTGACGCGTTTCCACACTTAGCCACGTGCTAATCATCTCATGTGTGTCCGCGTCGGATGGCGGGGGTTTCTTAATTGCACAGACCTGTTGAGGTTGATACGTGGCCAAACGGACAAAACTAATTGTAAATCAAGAATTAAAGCTTTCGTGACTGCATAAATTACTCATTCTTTTTTTTTCGGTAAAGGCACGTATGTAGAAATACCATAAAATTATATTAAAATAAAATAAATAAATCACGACGTTTCGACCACAACAAGCGATCTTCATCAGGTGTAAATAACAAATAGCGAGGGAGCACATAGGGTGACATCAACGCAACACATAGAGAGCGTTAAACTGCACAGAGGTAAATACAACAAGAAGATGAGAGACGAGAATTCAACAAACCTAAGAAAAAATTACGTGATGCAAAACCAGTCGGCCAACGACACAGTTAGACACTTGCCTGGCGGACTACGAATTTCAGAAGAGTGCTAAATTTCGTGTTCATCCTCTGGGTTGAACATACCAGCATAGACAGTGAACAAATACGAGGTATAAGATAGCTGAAATACATATACAGGATTTGCATTTACATATACAGGATTTACCTCCGTGCAGTTTAACGCTCTCTATGTGTTGCGTTGATGTCACCCTATGTGCTATTTGCTTTTTACACCTGATGAAGATCGCTTGTGTTGCGGTCGAAACGTCGTGATTGATTTATTTTATTTTAATATAATTTTATGGTATTTCTACATACGTGACTTTACCGAAAAAAAACAATGAGTAATTGTAAATCATTTATTTGTAAAAGTGTGTGCTGTGAAGAAGGGTCATTGCCCGAAACGTCGCCTCTCGTCTTGTTTTCACCAAAGCAATATAAGCCACGTGGGACAAATGTTTACTTGCACCTCCGTTTTTATGGTTGGCTACATACGGTGCGAAAAAAGTTCAACGCACATACAAGTTCAACACATTCCTCCAAGGGAAGGAACTTGGAGTGGAAGTTGATATCTAAGTAGATAGAGGCCGTACACAATACAACTTAAAAAAAAGCATGTTTTCAACAAACTAAACATATGAATGATTTCCGATTCCTCCTGTAATGTGTTCTCGGTAAACCAGGGCCGGGTTGAGGTTCTTGTAGGGCCGAGGGCACTTCTGCTTCGTAGGCCTTCAGTGATAACTTTCTACAGTTGTTGCCAACATATCACTGCTACCGCTGCTGTCATTCGCTAAAGCTGATTTTTTTTTAAACTGTCTCGTATCAACCATCGGACATCAACTCCGCTTTGTTCTTCCCTTGCACTACTCTCGACTGAGAATGAGATCGTGCGAAAGACACAATTTGAAGACGTTATTGCTAATTTTGCAATTAAAAAAATATATCTAACAAAGCTCATCTCCGATCTTCATTTCTCTCACCTTATGAAACAAAAAAGATTGACTTTGACATTACTCTGCCTCTGTATATAACACTGGCTATCCTTGCTATGTAAATATTTATTTATTCGAGAATATATCTTGGTGATATTTTTTTAATCATAAAAACACAATTTGTTTTTGTAGACACTTTAGTTTATGTAGGCCCGAGGCGCAGTAGTGCCTTAATATCTAGGCGCAGTAGGCACTACTGCGCCTAGATATGTTATTGAAGACGGCCCTGCAGTGAAGAGTCACCCACACAGACAAAGCTCCCCCATAAAGGCTTAAGAGACCGTTGGGGCCGGTGCTGTGTAGCGAGCCCTGTGCTACGGCTGGCACAGCGCACGTGGAGGTGCTTGAGGCCGCCACCACGGCCAGCCACCTTTGTCTCCCCACTGGTGATGTTAACACACCACACCAGGTACTCATTTAAGGTCAATTTTGACCAAGATGTTAACACACCGCACCAGGTACTCATTTAAGGTCGATTTGACCAAGATGTTAACACACCGCACCAGGTACTCATTTAAGGTCGATTTGACCAAGATGTTAACACACAGCACCAGGTACTCATTTAAGGTCGAATTGACCAAGATGTTAACACACAGCACCAGGTACTCATTTAAGGTCAATTTTGACCAAGATGTTAACACACCGCACCAGGTACTCATTTAAGGTCGATTTGACCAAGATGTTAACACACCGCACCAGGTACTCATTTAAGGTCGATTTTGACCAAGAAGTTAACACAGCACTAGGTACTCATTTAAGGTCGATTTGACCAAGATGTTAACACACCACACCAGGTACTCATTTAAGGTCGATTTCACCAAGATGTTAACACACCACACCAGGTACTCATTTAAGGTAGATTTTGACCAAGATGTTAACACACAGCACCAGGTACTCATTTGACCAAGGGCAGGGCTCAGGAACGCCTCCAGATATTCCTCGCCCTTACTGTGCAGTGCGCTCACAGCTCACCACTTCCCACGCACGCACACAAACAGGGACATTTGGACACGCACTAGCACACAATATCACTCTTACAACCATCCGAGCAAGGGCGCCACCTACTCTAATGGCTTTCCAGAAGGCGGTAACAGCAACCGCGTGAACTTCACCTGTTCCGCCTGTGAGGGATAGAGTGTTTCCCCCTCGCATGCGTGGGGAAGCATTCTCTGGGTTGCTCCCATTTACAAAATAAATACGCAATTCAAGGCTTAAATAAAAAAAACACATAAACGTCCACGACAACAACAACGTTTCTACTAAACGCAAACGAATCATTTGGCGATGCTGCTGCGTCATGCCTCTGGCGTGTTACTTTCTCCCTTCGTGTCGGGGTTCAATTGAAGCCTCGGGCGGCCCGGCTGAAGAGGCCACGCGGTGCCGCCTGGGGTGTTGCGCGCGAACGCCGACGTCTCTGGGTCGAAGCGGCCACTCGGCAGAACCCGAAGCAAACCTCGAAACAACTAAACTAAAAACTGTTTTGTTAGTTCATTCAACCAGGTGTAAGGTCCAACTCAGAAGCGACCTGGCTTTCACAAATGATAGCTTCGACGAAGTCGCTTACCGTGTGGAATTTCATCGCGGCCAAATTCTCTGAACGCCTGGATGTTGATTATCAACGTGGACGGCGGTGAGGAGGAGGGGGGGGGCGGAACCGGAGTGAGAGAGACGCGCAAACTCCGAACATACAGCAGGCGTCAGGGTCGGGATCAAACCCACGAGCTCCTTGCATGGCGAGGTCGTTGACATCTCGCGCCACGCCCGCCTGCCTCTGTCTCGACACCGTGGAGGCAACGAGACCCCTTCGAACATGCGGTTGTATAAGTGGGAGGTCAACTCGGGTTTGCCAGGACCAGGGGACAGCGTGCGCTCTGAGCACGGCGCGCCACCCACCGCTGCCCAACAAGTCATCGCGCAGTCACGACGCAGCAACACCCACCCACAAATGTCCTGGCCACCGTCACGGCATTGGGCTGCCTTGACCAGCCGATTACGTAAGGTGTGCCAGAGGGCAACGTCGTGGTTGAATGTGAACACAGAGCACGCGTAACACTTGCACGTGCATTGCACACGTGTGTCACGTGCGGAGGTGTGTTCTCCGGCGAGTGTCTCTGGTGAGTCTGTGTGCATGTCACTGGTCTGAATTCGTCCCTGTGGAGGATATCTGATGAGACAAAGGCGGCCGGGCGTGGTTATGGCCGTGCTGGCTTTCACAGTGACTCGCAAACAACACTTGCATCGACTGCCCCAGTTAAAGGCTACACGGGGGAATCTTTGTCCTTGTGTGAGCGTGTGTCTAGAGTTGTGTCTATTGTGGGGAGCGGAGCGTGTGGGACAGAGTGTGTCTAGAGTTGTGTCTATTGTGGGGAGCGGTGGTGTAGCGGTTAGCGCGCTGCGCGATGAACCCGGCGACCCGGGTTCGATTCCCGCTCACGGCCAACACCGGTGACGATTATCTGAACCGGTCCTGGGCATCCCCTAGGTCGACTCAGCCTCAAATGAGTACCTAGTGCGGTGTGTAGTAAACATCGCCACTGGGGAGACAAAGACGGTCGGGCGTGGTGCTGGCCACCCACCCCCTCGTGTGCCGTTCCGGCCTTCATAGGTGCTCGCTAACAGCACTTGCCCCTACAGTCTGTTAAGGCTACACGGGGGATCTTTTATCTTTGTGTGCGAGTGCATGCAAACTACAGACGCAATGTCCTTGACAGCTTTACATCAAACATCGTCATCCCCCCCAACATCGAAAATCATCAACGTTCATCCCCTCTTATCAACTAACATCACCACCACCGTCAGCATCATAATCAGCCCCCTACATCAAAACATCGCCATCACCGCCGCATTGCACATTCGCCATCACCGCCGCATTGCAGCACTACACATTACCATCACCACCACCATCGCCCCTCGCATTGCACATCTCATCATCAACACCACCTCTGCATGACTTATCACGGTCGTCAGCCCGGATTGCACCACATCATCACCATCACTCGTCACCATCACCAGCATCACACCCCCATCACCGCTCTCTGCAATGGGCATCACCCACCGCAACACCCCCATCACTGGCAGCGCCTCCTCCCTCCCTCCTCCCCCTCCTCTGCGCTGCAGTGAACAGCCCCGCCGCCTCCGCTCATCGGCGCAGATTCTCTTGCTCGACGACCACGGCAGGAGGGGAGACGGCGCACATCACCATCACCACCATCTTCATCATCGCAGCCGTCACGCAGATCCGCGCACGGCAGGCAACAGCGCACGGGCGCACGGGCGCACAAACGTAACGGGGCACGCGACCGAACCGTCGTCTCCTCTCAACTCACGCAGGCCGGGCTCTCTCTCTCTTTCTCTCTCTCTCTCTCCCGTCGAGTCCCCGACTCCATCACCCCGCCCCGTGACGGCGGTACAATGCGCGAGATCGTCCACGTGCAGGCCGGCCAGTGCGGCAACCAGGTCGGGTCCAAGGTGAGAGGAGTGTGCGGTCCTGTGCGTAGCCCGACTCGTCGAGCGCACAATCCGACTCGTCGAGCGCAGGGCTCGACCGACTCCTGTGTAGCACGTAGCCCGACTCAGTATGCAGTGCACATCTTGACTCATGTAGTCCGGCATAACCCGACCGTGCTGGATGTGTTGTGATGCGTGCTGCAGTGTTCGCAACATGATCTCTATCAGAGTGGTGATGTATCACTGTGATGGTGTGTCACTGTGATGGTGTGTCACTGTGATGGTGATGTATCACTGTGATGGTATATCACTATGGTGATGTATCACTGTGGTGATGTATCACTGTGGTGATGTATCACTGTGGTGATGTATCACTGTGATGGTGATGTATCACTATGGTGATGTATCACTGTGATGGTGTGTCACTGTGATGGTGTTTCACTGTGATGGTGATGTATCTCTGTGATGGTGTGTCACTATGGTGATGAATCACTATGGTGATGTATCACAGGAGTGATGTATCACTGTGGTGATGTATCACTGTGATGGTGTGTCACTGTGATGGTGATGTATCACTGTGATGGTGTGTCACTATGGTGATGAATCACTATGGTGATGAATCACTATGGTGATGTATTACAGGAGTGATGTATCACTATGGTGATGTATCACTGTGATGGTGTGTCACTGTGATGGTGTGTCACTGTGATGGTGATGTATCACAGTGGTGATGTATCACTATGGTGATGAATCACTATGGTGATGTATCACTGTGGTGATGTATCACTATGGTGATGTATCACTATGGTGATGTATCACTGTGGTGATGTATCACAGGAGTGATGTGTCACTGTGGTGATGTATCACTGTGATGTATCACTGTGGTGATGTATCACTGTGATGATGTATCACTGTGGTGACGTATCACTGTGGTGATGTATCACTATGGTGATGTATCACAGTGGTGATGTATCACTATGATGTATCACTATGGTGATGTATCACTGTGATGTGTCACTATGGTGATGTATCACTGTGGTGATGTATCACTGTGGTGATGTATTACAGGAGTGATGTATCACTATGGTGATGTATCACTGTGATGGTGTGTCACTGTGATGGTGATGTATCACAGTGGTGATGTATCACTATGGTGATGAATCACTATGGTGATGTATCACTGTGGTGATGTATCACTGTGGTGATGTATCACTATGGTGATGAATCACTATGGTGATGCATCACTGTGATGGTGTGTCACTATGGTGATGTATCACTGTGATGGTGTGTCACTGTGATGGTGATGTATCACTGTGGTGATGTATCACTATGGTGATGTATCACTGTGGTGATGTATCACTGTGGTGATGTATCACTATGGTGATGTATCACTGTGGTGATGTATCACTATGGTGATGTATCACTATGGTGATGTGTCACTATGGTGATGTATCACTGTGGTGATGTATTATTATGGTGATGTATCACTGTGGTGATGTATCACTGTGGTGATGTATTATTATGGTGATGTATCACTGTGGTGATGTATCACTGTGGTGATGTATCACTATGGTGATGTATCACTGTGATGTGTCACTATGGTGATGTATCACTGTGGTGATGTATCACTGTGGTGATGTATCACCATGGTGATGTATCACTGTGGTGATGTATCACTGTGATGTATCACTGTGGTGATGTATCACTGTGATGATGTATCACTGTGGTGACGTATCACTGTGGTGATGTATCACTATGGTGATGTATCACAGTGGTGATGTATCACTATGGTGATGTATCACAGGAGTGATGTATCACTATGGTGATGTATCACTGTGATGTATTACTATGGTGATGTATCACTATGGTGATGTATCACTGTGGTGATGTATCACAGGAGTGATGTATCACTGTGGTGATGTATCACTGTGATGATGTATCACTGTAGTGACGTATCACTGTGGTGATGTATCACTATGGTGATGTATCACAGTGGTGATGTATCACTATGGCGATGTATCACAGGTGTGATGTATCACTATGGTGATGTATCACTGTGATGTATCACTATTGTGATGTATCACTGTGGTGATGTATCACAGGAGTGATGTATCACTATGGTGATGTATCACTGTGGTGACGTATCACTATGGTGACGTATCACTATGGTGATGTATCACTATGGTGATGTATCACTATGGTGATATATCACAGTGGTGATGTATCACTGTGGTGATGTATCACTGTGGTGATGTATCACTGTGGTGATGTATCACTGTGGTGATGTATCACAGGAGTGATGTGTCACTGTGGTGATGTATCACTGTGATGTATCACTGTGGTGATGTATCACTGTGATGATGTATCACTGTGGTGACGTATCACTGTGGTGATGTATCACTATGGTGATGTATCACAGTGGTGATGTATCACTATGGTGATGTATCACAGGAGTGATGTATCACTGTGATGTATTGCTATGGTGATGTATCACTATGGTGATGCATCACTGTGGTGATGTATCACAGTGGTGATGTATCACAGTGGTGATGTATCACTATGGTGATGTATCACTGTGGTGATGTATCACTGTGGTGATGTATCACAGTGGTGATGTATCACTATGGTGATGATGTATCACTATGGTGATGTATCACAGTGCTGATGTATCACAGTGCTGATGTCTCACAGGAGTGATGTATCACTGTGGTGATGTATCACTGTGGTGATGTATCACTATGGTGATGTATCACTGTGGTGATGTATCACTATGGTGATGTATCACAGTGGTGATGTATCACTATGGTGATGTATCACTGTGGTGATGTATCACAGGAGTGATGTGTCACTGTGGTGATGTATCACTGTGGTGATGTATCACTGTGGTGATGTATCACTATGGTGATGTATCACTATGGTGATGTATCACTGTGATGTGTCACTATGGTGATGTATCACAGTGGTGATGCATCACAGTGGGTGTGGGTCAAGAGCAGGAGAACGCCCCGATGTATCAGGGCTGGTGAATGCGGCGCGGCGAGCATGTAGTCCCCCCTCTGTCTGCATTGTATTCATGCAGCGAATGTCTGCCTTTTATTATCTGCGTAGTGTAGCCCCTCTCTCTCTCTCTGTTCCGCATGCCTCTCCGTTTGCGCAGCATTCGCATTGGATCGGTGGCACAGCGGTTAGCGCACTTCGCTTCTCACCACCTTTAAAGGGTACCCGGTGCGGCGTTTAAACATCAGCGACGGGGAGACAAAGGCGGCCAGCGGTGGGCGTTGGCCACAACACAACCCTTCGTGCGCCTTCATAAGTGCTTGCACACAGCGCCACTTGTCCCAAGAAGTCTGCGAAGGCTATACGGGGGATCTTTGTCATTGTCTTATTATACGCACAGCCATTTCTGTTCAATCCAGTGATGGATGAGAGGTGGGGGGGGGGGGGCTTCGCCATCGCTTGCGCACGATCGTGGTGGGCGAGGAGGGGGCTGTTTGACAATACCTCACCACGTGCGGTCAAACTGGGGGGCGGCTTTGCGACCGCGCTCTGTCGTTGCAGTTCTGGGAGGTGATCAGCGAGGAGCATGGCATCGACAGGACGGGCTCCTACCGCGGATACAACGCGCGGCTGCAGATGGAGAGGATCAACGTCTACTACAGCGAGGCGACGAGTGCGCTCCCTCGACACCCCGGGGCCCCACCGTGTCCCCCACTGCCCCCCAACCCACCACACATGTGGCCAGGGTCGCCGCCCTCTCGCCACTGGAGATCAAACCCCGGGACACGTCTCTCGGTCGGGCCTGGGTCTCTGTCAAAACTGTGCAGCGTCCTAAAAAACCCAGGGCGTTATCGGGGCAATCCGGGCTTGACAGTTCCTGCCATTCGATGCACAGGTGCTTGTGATGGTCCGGGTCAAACTCAAATCCGGTGGCAACCCGAGCGCCAACTGCGAACGGGCAGCTCGGTATCATGGGTTCGGGCTAACGAGATGACGACCGAGACACCGGGCGCCCCTCGCACGATGACTTACGCCGGGGACGGGAACCTTTTCCCTCTCGAGGGCTGGAGCGGGCTTTCAGATACCTATGGCGGGCAACCACACAAAAAGGCACACTCACACACACCTCGGCCATTATCTGATGATGGTGATGATGATGGGCAACATACTGAGGGCCCGTCGTGCTTCTAAAGCGCACAGTGAAACATATTCTCCTCCAGTAGGCGATTAGTGCTACCGAGGTGCTTGCGGTGACAGGTAAATGATTGTTTGCTCGCTGTTTCACAGTGGTAGGCCTCGTGCGGCTGGTCAGGCCACAGGTTCCCCACTCCTGCCCAAGGACCCCAACAGTGAGGCCACGGCTCTGCCTGGAGACCCGTAAGGGTTGCAGGGTATGGAGCTGCCCGAGCTACAATCCCACGGGGCTTGAAGATTTTCCCAACACAACCTCGACGGTTCTAAAACTATGATTGGCCATCACTATCGCGACCAGTACCACAATAGCAACAGTACCGCCATCGCTAGGATGAGCGCCATTAGCTTCATCATCAGTATCACATCACCAGCATCACATCACCAGCACAAGAATGATGCGTACCACTATCATCAGAACCAGCGTTTTGCACCATTACCAGCAATCTAACTATCAACGGCACCACCATGACCAGCAAGAGCATCACTTAAATTATGAATAACACCACCATCACTCACACAACCATCATTATCACCGCTACCACCACGAGCACAGCTAACATCGCCTGCAGCAGTGTCACCACCACTAGCAGCAGCAGCAGTAGCAACAGTGTTGAGACAGCGGTGTGCAGTGCTTGTCAGATGCTTGTGACCCAGGAGGAAAAATGGCTCCGCAAACTCCAGAACTGAAAATCGGCCAAAATCTGAAACAGCAAAATGCATTGCCATGGGAAGGAGTGGTGGGGCAGGGAGCAGTTTGTGGGCAGAGCAGGATAGTCAAATAGAGTCCAGCCCTAACCAAATAGCCAACTGGCATTAGGACTACCACTGACAATGCCGACTAGCCGACCATTAACGAGTGCTAAGTCTCCCATAGACCCTAAACCTGCCCCATATTAGCAAACAAGACACTGGTACTTGCCCTCCCACTGATCTTAATCCTAACCCCGCCTCTGGACTCCTCCTCGTCAAAAGCCACCTGCGGCACTTTGCCCGGGGCCATTTTTCACCGTTTGTTCACTTTAAAAAACACCATCAACAACGATCGATAAGTTTGACACGTAGGCTTTCGCGACCAATATCATCCATGAGAGGTTTTCTTTTTAACCCAAAAAACCCTCTATGATGAACGATCAGTAAGACAAAATATGAACACTAAAGAGAAACGAAACTCGAACGTTCCGTCGAATGCCTGGGCCTGATTTCTCAGTACGTGGTGACCCCACCATCGCTCCGTCGCCGACCAAGAACCGTACCTGTTGCGTCAGTTTCGGCGCTCACCGCAGTGGGCTTGGTTGTTTACCGGGCTGACCGCCGGGGGCCGCGTCCCTCCCGCTCGCGCAGGTGGCAAGTTCGTGCCGAGGGCGATCATGGTGGACCTAGAGCCGGGCACCATGGACGCGGTCCGCTCGGGGCCCCTGGGCCACATGTTCCGCCCGGACAACTTCGTGTTCGGTAAGCCGGGTGATGATGAAGGTGATGATGAAGGTGACGATGACGATGAAGGTGATAATGAAGGGAACGGGCCAAAGGATCTGTTTTGGCTACCAGTAAAAACTTACTTGAAAATATTCTTGGTTCTTTCGGTAAAGTCACGTAGAAGGGAAACAATAAAATAATAAAATTGTCTTGCTGTGGTGTTAAACCTTATGATGATTGCTTCTGTTGCAGTCGAAACGTCGTGAGAATTTTATTGTTTTATATTTTTATTATTTTATTGTTTCCCTTCTACGTGACTTTACCGAAATAACCTAATCCCTGCAGTCACGAAAGCTTTAAATAAAAAAAATTACTTGAAAATGTTGACAACAAATCGGCAAACGTAACCACTGCGCTCATCCAACTGCTGTGCTGAATGGGTGCCACCGTGTTCGTGGAGGGCTCATGCCCGTAACGTCGGGCAACCTGTAGATATTTGTAAGAGATCAGACTGCTTATGAGACTCAAAAAATGCCGAGATATCGATGTCTGGTCTACGAATGTGCAGAGGCCACACAGGACTCGAATGATCGTGTGGGCTCCTACAAATGGGTGCACTTGCCTGTAAGGCAATGTGCTGCCCACTTGTGTAACAACAATAATAATAATTTGACTCAGGAAAGCCTCACCAAGTCTCAAAGACGCCTTATCAAGAGGGTCCTGTTTTGACAATTTCCATAATTGAGTATTTTGTTGGATGAAAACGGAATACGGACCAAGGTAAAACCCACCGCACACATAAGGGGATAACGCCTCAATATCCTCACAGATAGATTAAAGAATCCATTGCTGTACTACCTTCTCTCACCCACCGCACAGCCCAAGTCAGTGGCGCTGTGTGCAACCGACGCCCAAAGGCCGGAGGGATCCAGGGGCTGGGCCAGAGGAAGGACATTGGATTGGGGGAGCCATTCCATTAATTCCTTGCACAGGGTCCCATGCCCATCAGGTTACGTCACTGGATCAGGCCTACGACACCTGGCATTTACCTGGCATTCACCTGGCATTCACCTGGTATTCACCTGGCATTAACCTGGCATTCACCTGGCATTCACCTGGCATTCACCTGGCAGCTCTCCCACAGTGGAGTTGGCGAGAGTCGGCAACTCGGCTCCCGCGGGCCGTTGCCGCTCATCGGCGCGATGGCCTTGTGCCCCGCAGGCCAGAGCGGCGCGGGTAACAACTGGGCCAAGGGCCACTACACGGAGGGCGCCGAGCTGGTGGACTCGGTGTTGGACGTGGTGCGCAAGGAGGCGGAGAACTGCGACTGCCTGCAGGGCTTCCAGCTGACGCACTCGCTGGGCGGGGGCACCGGCTCGGGCATGGGCACCCTGCTCATCAGCAAGATCCGCGAGGAGTACCCCGACCGCATCATGAACACCTTCAGTGTGGTGCCCTCCCCCAAGGTGAGAGGAGAGAACGACGAGGTGGAGGACTATAGTACCGGTACTATAACCCCGACCGCATCATGAACACCTTCAGTGTGGTGCCCTCCCCCAAGGTGAGAGGAGAGAACGACGAGGTGGAGGACTATAGTACCGGTACTATAACCCCGACCGCATCATGAACACCTTCAGTGTGGTGCCCTCCCCCAAGGTGAGAGGAGAGAACGACGAGGTGGAGGACTATAGTACCGGTACTATAACCCCGACCGCATCATGAACACCTTCAGTGTGGTGCCCTCCCCCAAGGTGAGAGGAGAGAACGACGAGGTGGAGGACTATAGTACCTGTACTATAACCCCGACCGCATCATGAACACCTTCAGTGTGGTGCCCTCCCCCAAGGTGAGAGGAGAGAACGACGAGGTGGAGGACTATAGTACCGGTACTATAACCCCGACCGAATCATGAACACCTTCAGCGTGGCGCCCTCCCCCACGGTGAGGGGGCTCTAGATGTAAGATTATTGGACTGTGGCGCTCACGGGCTGTGGTACTGGAGGACTATAATACTGGAGGACTGTGGTAGTGGAGGACTATAATACTGGAGGACTGTGGTGGTGGAGGACTGTGGTACTGGAGGACTGTGGCGCTCACGGGCTGTGGTACTGGAGGACTATAATACTGGAGGACTGTGGTACTGGAGGACTGTGGTAGTGGAGGACTGTGGTACTGGAGGACTGTGGTACTGGAGGACTGTGGTAGCGGAGGACTGTGGTAGTGGAGGACTGTGGTACTGGAGGACTGTGGTACTGGAGGACTGTGGTACTGGAGGACTATAATACTGGAGGACTGTGGTAGTGGAGGACTGTGGTAGTGGAGGACTATGGTACTGGAGGACTGTGGTACTGAAGGACTGTGGTACTGGAGGACTGTGGTACTGGAGGACTGTGGTGCTGGAGGACTATAATACTGGAGGACTGTGGTACTGCAGGACTGTGGTGCTGAAGGACTGTGGTACTGGAGGACTGTGGTACTGGAGGACTGTGGTAGTGGAGGACTGTGGTACTGGAGGACTGTGGTACTGGAGGACTGTGGTGCTGAAGGACTGTGGTAGTGGAGGACTGTGGTACTGGAGGACTGTGGTACTGAAGGACTATAATACTGGAGGACTGTGGTAGTAGATGACTGTGGTACTGAAGGACTGTGGTACTGGAGGACTGTGGTAGTGGAGGACTGTGGTACTGGAGGACTGTGGTAGTAGATGACTGTGGTAGTGGAGGACTGTGGTACTGGAGGACTATAATACTGGAGGACTGTGGTACTGGAGGACTGTGGTAGTGGAGGACTATAATACTGGAGGACTGTGGTACTGGAGGACTGTGGTAGTGGAGGACTGTGGTAGTGGAGGACTGTGGTACTGGAGGACTGTGGTAGTAGATGACTGTGGTAGTGGAGGACTGTGGTAGTGGAGGACTGTGGTAGTGGAGGACTGTGGTGCTGAAGGACTGTGGTAGTAGATGACTATGGTACTGAAGGACTGTGGTAGTAGATGACTGTGGTAGTGGAGGACTGTGGTAGTAGATGACTGTGGTACTGGAGGACTGTGGTAGTAGATGACTGTGGTAGTGGAGGACTGTGGTACTGGAGGACTATAATACTGGAGGACTGTGGTACTGGAGGACTGTGGTAGTGGAGGACTATAATACTGGAGGACTGTGGTACTGGAGGACTGTGGTAGTGGAGGACTGTGGTACTGGAGGACTGTGGTAGTAGATGACTGTGGTAGTGGAGGACTGTGGTAGTGGAGGACTGTGGTAGTGGAGGACTGTGGTGCTGAAGGACTGTGGTAGTAGATGACTGTGGTAGTGGAGGACTGTGGTAGTAGATGACTGTGGTAGTGGAGGACTGTGGTAGTGGAGGACTGTGGTAGTAGATGACTGTGGTAGTAGATGACTGTGGTACTGGAGGACTGTGGTAGTGGAGGACTGTGGTAGTAGATGACTGTGGTAGTGGAGGACTGTGGTAGTGGAGGACTGTGGTAGTGGAGGACTGTGGTAGTGGAGGACTGTGGTAGTGGAGGACTGTGGTACTGGAGGACTGTGGTAGTGGAGGACTGTGGTAGTAGATGACTGTGGTAGTGGAGGACTGTGGTAGTGGAGGACTGTGGTAGTGGAGGACTGTGGTACTGGAGGACTGTGGTAGTGGAGGACTGTGGTAGTGGAGGAATGTGGTAGTGGAGGACTGTGGTACTGGAGGACTGTGGTGCTGAAGGACTGTGGTAGTGGAGGACTGTGGTAGTGGACACGATCTGACGCTGCTGCTCACGTCTTCTCCTCGGGCAAGGCGAGGAGACGCCGGGGGACTGCTATCAGTGACACGAGCATTAGCCGTACCCCAAGTACTGTGCCTGACACTCGCACTGACACAGACTACTCCGTGACCACCACTGATGCTGCCGAAGGCGAGAGGCTCTGGGGTCGGGGCCCTAACAACAACGACAACATTGGCTGAAACTCGAACGATAACCCCAGTGCCCGCACGACTCTAACCCCGACCCCCAGGACTCTACGACGAACCTCCCCCCCCCCCCCCCCCCCCCCCCCCCCCCCCCCCACACTCGATGGATGCCGTGCCACCCCGCAGGTGTCTGACACGGTGGTGGAGCCGTACAACGCGACGCTGTCGGTGCACCAGCTGGTGGAGAACACGGACGAGACGTACTGCATCGACAACGAGGCGCTCTACGACATCTGCTTCCGCACCCTCAAGCTGGCCAACCCGGCGTACGCCGACCTCAACCACCTGGTGTCGGCCACCATGAGCGGCGTCACCACCTGCCTGCGCTTCCCGGGCCAGCTCAACGCCGACCTGCGCAAGCTCGCCGTCAACATGGTGCCCTTCCCGCGGCTGCACTTCTTCATGCCGGGCTTCGCGCCGCTCACCAGCCGTGGCTCGCAGCAGTACCGAGCGCTCACCGTGCCCGAGCTCACCCAGCAGATGTTCGACGCCAAGAACATGATGGCGGCGTGCGACCCGCGGCACGGCCGCTACCTCACGGTGGCCGCCATCTTCCGCGGCCGCATGTCCATGAAGGAGATCGACGAGCAGATGCTGAGCGCGCAGACCAAGAACAGCAGCTACTTCACCGACTGGATCCCCAACAACGTGAAGACGGCCGTGTGCGACATCCCGCCGCGCGGCCTCAGCATGTCCGTCACGTTCATCGGGAACAGCACGGCCATCCAGGTAGCGACGGTGACTTTGCGACGCGTTGTCCGGCCCTCCAACCCCTCCTTGTCATCGGCCACAGACCACTGTGTTGCACAGCTCCGTACTCGCTCATCGCTGTAGTCTCTCTCCTCATCGCTGTTAAGACCGCGACTCTGTCGATAATGCCAGAGGAGCTTCTCGCGTGACAACGGAGCGCGACTTTACACAAACTATGACACGCTTCTTAGCCATGTGTACGGCAGAGGCGGTGACCGTGCGTCACGTGTTTGTCCCTTCAATGCAGAAACAAGCAGAGTCGATTGTGACGTGGTTGGCATGGTGGGCCGTCGTTGTTGTTGCAGCACGTGCGGTATCTGAATCTGCGTCAAATCGATGCATCCCTGCAAAGGGCGCGGTAGCGACCGCTGTGAGGAACAATATCACACTCGTTGGGTCTTTCGGTGAAGTCACGTAGATAGAAAAATAATAGATCACGACGTTTCGATCGCAACGCAGGCAATCGTCTTCAGGTGAGTACGGTAGACTTCAGGTGAGTACGGTAGAGTCACCTGAAGACGATTGCCTGTGCTGCGATCGAAACGTCATGATCTATTATTTTTTTTATCTACGTGACTTTACCAAAAGACCCAAAGGGGATAAATTCCTGCAGTGGCGAAAGCTTTCAATCAAGATTGAACAATATCTTGCTTGTCACCCCCCCCCCCCCCCCCCCCTCTCTTACGTTTCCTTTGCGTGCTTCTACCGATGTGCTATTCTTACCCTGATGAAGTCTCTCTCGCGATGCTGTGCCTTTGCTCTTTTTAATTTAGCCTGCATCCTCCGCTGCTCATCAGTGGCCATGCCAAGCATTAATAATCATTTCCCCTCATTATTCACCGTCAGAACGAGCATCTGCGCCGCCGTCTTGGGCACCGGCTATATTGTGTCCTTGCCTGAGCGTTCTTCATTGTTGTGATTTCACCTTGTGGTTGTGAGGCACTTCAGTAAGGTTCACAAGAGCTACAATGTCCTTCCCCCCCCCACACACACTTTAGTGATCTTGCAAATCGAATACGCAGGGTGCCATCTGAGTTTAGTTCAGGAGGCTAGAACAGACTCGTCTTTACGAGAAGATTTCTAGTCCTGGCGAAAAACAAGTTTAAGAAAGCTTGCGACGAGATGATAAAAACAACAGAGTACGTTGAACTTCTTTAGCACCGTACGTAGCCAACCGTACTAATCGCAGATGTGAGAATGATGCTGATGATGAACCGGAGATTATCATATTGATAGTGGAATATATATTAAAAGTTGCAAGGCTCCTGAAAGTTGAATTACCAGCTGAACTGCTCTAAATGTCTCTCTCCGTGTTTCTCTGTCCCTTTGTGCCCCACTCTGTCCCTGCGTCTCTCATTCTACGTCTCTGTCTCGCCGTATGCTTGCGTTTGTCTCTGTGTCTAATGTCCCTCTGCATGCCCCCCTGCTCCTCAGTCCCCCCCCCTCCGTCATTGGCAGGAGCCATTCAAGAGCATCTTGAAGCACTTATATTTCTCTCTGCCTCTTTAGTCCGTTTCCTCCGCGTCTAGCGCTTCGTATCATCTTTGTCTTGCCGTCTCTTTCCTTTCTTCGTGTGTGTCTGCCTGTCCCTGTGTACGTGTCTCTCACTGCTTGCCTCTTCCTCTGTAGTGCTCTCTATGCGTGTCTCTCTCTCTCTACTTCTCCCTGTACTTGTCCCTCAGTGTCCCTCTACGCGTCTCTCTCTCTGGGCTCCACCCGAGCGTCGGGACGGCTCCGCGTGGCGCCGCCGCGTCGAACGCCACGGTTGCCAAGCGACCCCCACGGTTGCCAAGCGACCCCCACGGTTGCCAAGCGACCGCCACGGTTGCCAAGCGACCCCCACGGTTGCCAAGCGACCCCCACGGTTGCCAAGCGACCCCCACGGTTGCCAAGCGACCCCATCTAGCTCTCCTCCGGCCTCGTCCCTCCCCTCCCCAGGAGCTGTTCAAGCGAATCTCCGAGCAGTTCACGGCCATGTTCCGCCGCAAGGCCTTCCTGCACTGGTACACGGGCGAGGGCATGGACGAGATGGAGTTCACCGAGGCGGAGAGCAACATGAACGACCTCGTCTCCGAGTACCAGCAGTACCAGGACGCCACGGCCGAGGAGGAGGAGGGCGAGTTCGAGGAGGACTACGAGGAGGACGAGGCGGAGGAGGACGAGGTGGCGCCTCCACACGAGAGTTACTGAACATAGGCGCCGCCGTGACGGATGGAACGCGACACCGCCACCCAGGCCGGAACCACGGCGATCGCATAGCTCCACCCGTAGCCGACACCATTCGCTCGAGCCCTAACCCATAGTCAATAGTCAACTCGTAGCCTGGCCCAAGCCATATGGCCTATATCAGAACCGTAGCCCGAACACAAACCCTCTCGCTAGCCCGAGCCATGAACCCAAGCCAGACACTAGACCTGACCCATACAACAAACAGCTCTATCCCTATCCACAGGCTTAATAGAACCATAGCTAGCCCCTACTCAAAACATGGCACTACCCATGACACTAATCATAGCCGACTGTAGCTTCTCTCACAACTAACATGAATAACACTAACTTTAGCTGTAGCGCTACCATACTACACGTCCCCAGTGCTAATACGGAGGCACGGAGACAATACCTGAATAAAGAACTAGACCCCTAAGCTTAGTCATAGGCCTCGATTGAATTGTCGCCCTAGGTAAACGCTACAGTGAAGCCTGTGGATCAAGTGCAATGTTAAGGCCAGTGGCTTGGTACAGTAATCATGCTTCAACATCTGGGAGCTGCTGTGCTCTGGAACAAAGCCCTAATCCCGTCTCTTATCTCCCATGCATGGTCGCAGTGCCCATTAGCACCACATCACTTTGGTCTCCTGGGATCTACAACCATTTCCCATTGTGGTGGCAGCAGTATTTTTCAGAGTAGCAGCAGCAGTGTGTTTTCAGCGTAACTCCGTTGTGTGTTCCTTTGCCGATCTCAGATCATGAATGAAGACCTTGCTCGCTCTCACTGTGCGTTAAAGCCCCACTCCCTCCTATCCCCCCCCGCCCCCCCCCCCCCCCCACATTCAGCTTATAAATAAAGCCTACGTTGTTGGTTCTGAGCACCATCATTCTCTCGTAGAATGTCAAATGGAACCGTGAATAAACGTTGCGACGTGTACACACAGCCGCCACGCGGTGCGTCCTCATCGCTCGCTGTGCCAACCGCAGCAGCAGCAGCACGGAGCGCCGCAGGCAGGGTGGCGCTGCTGTCCATGGTACAGCGCGCGCTCGGGGTGCCCCGCCTACGCTGGATAATCGATAACGGGCGGCGGCGGGGGTGGTGTCGTACGTGGCTGCCCGAGGTCCAGCGCTGAGGAGGCGGCGGCGAGGGTCGATGGGTCGCCGCGTGGACGCTGTGAAACTCCCTTCACCGTGGGCGGCGAGGAGCGGCCGTACCCTGGCTCGCCAGTAGAAAGCGGTGCAGCAGAATGTATTGGGACTTCACCTGTTCCGACCGCGTGAGATATAGTGTTTCCCCCTCGCAGGCGTGAGTTTTCTCCAGGTGCTCCGGTTTCTTACAACGTGTCAACACTCGTAAATTGGTCAATCACGCCTAAATACATACAGGGCTGTGGAGCTTGGGCAATTGTCGGGCTACAGCTCACCGTGTGGCTGCTGCCTTCCCGCTTGCCTGTAGTTCATCCTTGTAACCCGATTCGTCCTCCGTCTTCGAGAGCGAGCAAATTCCGCACGGAGGTGGCGCGCGACAAGTCCAAAGCGCGTCTGAGCGTTCGCTCTGCTCATGCGTAGAGCAGGGATGCACATTCACCCGAGCCACTGCACGTTAAGGACAACGCGTCACTGCTGTGTTTTTTTTTTAAACTGTATTAACGCACGCGCGCACACACACACACGCCTTAAGTGGTTGGTTCGGTGTAAATACAGAGCACCGCACGCACCCGCAACACAGTTCACCACCCACACCCTCCGCCTTACGCGAGGCCTGGGCTCGAGTCCCCCCGGGCGATGCATGGCACCAAACCTCCGTCCGAGCCGCTCCCCCCCCCGCCCCCTCCAAGCCCCCGGCCTTTGCCGGGGCAGGCGTCGTCGACCCGAGCGTGGCCCCGTGGCTCGCACGGCGGTGCCGGCAAGGCGGGGATCGGTTTCTGATCCAAAAAAATGTGGGCCTGGATCTAACGTTTTCGCAGCACGACCTAAGGGCAAGTTTAACACGTAGGCTTTCGCGACCAATGTCATCAAATTCCTCCTGCCTGAGCATTACATCGCGTAAATGCGGTCCGATGCAAATTCGACGCCATCGTACCCGAACGACGCAACGACATTCTGCGTGTTTCTAATCCAAAACTCAGCCACCCCCCCCCCCCCCCCCAGCACGTGGTGGTTGAGGGGCCCGCCACGGCAGAACGTCGCGAGTTTGGGTCCCCTGCCTCGTGGCAGCAGTTGCCGGAGAGACGCACGCCGGGTGGTAGGGGGGGGGGGGCGCAGACGAGTGTCACAGCGGGCGGTAACGCAACAGATTGTAAACGCTCTTCTTTAGGCGCATTGGTTCGTTGCTTTTCATTGTCGAGTTCAGTTTTCCTAATCAAGGCACTCTTCCCCTCCAACCTGCTTACAAAGAAACGAGAACGCAGCAGAAGCCGACTTACTACTTCACATCAGTGGCGTCACCTCCTCCGGGGTCCATATCACGAGCACCACACTTTGTGCGGAAGTCAACGAGCGAGTGCACAGTGGATGGACTTACCCCGGCCACATGAATGTGGAATTACACTGTAACCCAATCACTTCCGATTACACCGCTCATCTTAACAGGCAATCACCTCTGAGCCACGTTCCTCACGGAACACGGACGAGGCCGGGGCGGAGAGGCGGTGTCAATGGTGGCACGGCTATCGAGACGGTGCCACCACGACGCCTTCCGTGGTGGCTCGCGGGGCAGAGGAGGATCGGAGCGGCGACAAACGCCGCTCGGGAAACACCGCCAGCGCTGGCCAACACCACCACCGCCAGCGCTGGCCGCCACCACCGCCGGCCACCACCACCGCCTCCGCTGGCCAACACCACCACCGCCAGCGCTGGCCGCCACCACCGCCGGCCACCACCACCGCCTCCGCTGGCCAACACCACCACCGCCTGCGCTGGCCAACACCACCACCGCCAGCGCTGGCCAACACCACCACTGCCAGCGCTGGCCGCCACCACCGCCGGCCACCACCACCGCCTGCGCTGGCCAACACCACCACCGCCAGCGCTGGCCAACACCACCGCCGGCCACCACCACCGCCTGCGCTGGCCAACACCACCACCGCCAGCGCTGGCCAACACCACCGCCGGCCACCACCACCGCCTCCGCTGGCCACCACCACCACCGCCTGCGCTGGCCACCACCACCACCGCCAGCGCTGGCCGCCACCACCACCACCGCCTGCGCTGCCCGCCACCGGCGGCGGGCAGCTCGGGTGGGGCCAGCGCGTGGCGCCGTTCCCATCCAGACTCCCGAGTCCGGCCTAAGGCACGAGCGGGCTAAGTTGCACACCACACACACTGCAGACACACACACTGCAGACACGACACACACTACACACACACTGCAGACACGACACACTACGCACACTGCAGACACGACGCACACTACACGCACACTGCAGACACACTGCAGACACGACACACACTACACACACACACTGCAGACACGACGCACACTACACACACACTGCAGACACGACGCACACTACACACACACACTGCAGACACGACGCACACTATACACACACTGCAGACACACTGCAGACACGACGCACACTACACACACACTGCAGACACGATACACACTACACACACACTGCAGACACGACGCACACGAGTTTATAAAGGCGAGGGCTGCATGAAGCCCGGGAATGTACAATGCATTTCTTAAGTTAAGGCACTTTAGCAGGGCCCACCGTGATTTCCGGGGACTGGGGGACGTGGGGACCCTGAGGACCCCCCTCTTCTGTCACTCGCTTTGGACGCACTTTTAACCCCGGGGTCACGCCATCCAGCCTCTGAAAACCAAAGTAGGGTGCCTCAAAGAGAGCCGTGCAGGCTGTAGGTTTCTGACCTATATCTGCGTGGAGTTACCGGACAGCGTTACTCGACATCTGTGAACAAGAGCTTCACAGCTCATCGGATTGCTCCGGTCTAAATAAAGATTATGATTTTGAGTTGGAGTATCTGCTTCCGCGTAGGGGGGGGGGGGGGGGGGGGTTCTTCCAGCATGCAAACAAATACCCTGGGGAAGGAGTTGGAGAAAAAAACGTCCAGCGTGGGTATGGGCGAGGCTTTTTCCCCGGGGTAAATAAAAAAAAAGAAAACCAGGAAATGTTGCATGATTTGCCGTCTTGTGAAATAACAAAAAAACAATTACATCCTAGGGGGCTGCAGAATCCCAGGATGAATCAAGTGTGAGAATGGTACCAGGCTTGCAACCCGGCTCCCCAGAGACAAAGATCCCCCGTGTAGCCTTGAACGGACTTGTTGGAGATAATGCTGTTAGCGAGCACCTATTAACGCCGGCACGACATTCACCAGTGGCGATGTTTACTACACACGGAACCAGACTGAGCCGACGCAAGGGGCAGACCGAGGATCGGTTCAGATAATCGTCAGCAACGCTGGCCGCGAGAAGGCATCGAACTCGGGTGGCCTCTCCCCCACCCTCCCCCTCCACACACACACACACGAGAGTGATAACAAACACCGCAAGCATCGACACGGCACGCAACTAACACTAAATCTGCACGGCCATGCAGCCCTGACGATACCGGGTCACGGGACGGCTCCGCCTGCAGGCCGTCCCAACACGAAGGCCATCGTCACGACACGCGCACGAGGTTTCTGCACGAATTCCCATCGTAAAAGTCCACGCATCAATGCCCAACGCAAGGTCACAACAGCAAGGCACCGTCACAACACGCGGTCACAACCACAGCGCCGCAAATTCGGGTGGTTTTTGTTGTTGCTTTACGTGCGGTTGCCATCAGTGCCGGATTAAGCTAGTGCGGGGCCTGTAGCATTAAGTGGCCTTAAATAAAATAAAAAACTAATTTTAAAACTTGCTGTTATTGTATTTTTCATTTGCTATACAGCCAGATAACACGACAAATCGCTAACCTTGAACACCCAGTCGTTCATAAACGTTTAAGGCGGTATAGTACTATATTAATAGAGCAAGTGCAGAATCACTGAACCGGAATTGATAGCTTGAAAGCATTTAGCGCGGGGCCCTTGAAAGTGCGGGGCCCGTAGCATTTGCTACTTTTGCTACTGGGATAATCCGGCACTGGTTGACATTTCGCTGCACGTGTTCGCGTGACAGATACAACATTCAGTACCAGCGTACCGCTAAAACCACGGGGAGAACGTTACAAAAGTAAAAACAACAAAAAACGAGCGGTAAGCAATTCGGCCACTTTGCTCATCGTGATTGTCAGTTGCGCATGGATTCTAAAATCTGATGAAGGAGAGCTTCGTGTGAAGCGTCCCAGTGGATTGGCCTCCCACTTGGCGCGTAGCCGCGGGCAGCCGGTTCCACGCTCCCCGCCGCTCTCTGCGGATAAAAATAGGACGCCTCTTCGGGGCCTCCGTCCGGAACGTTCCCGTACGCGGCTTCTGCTTCTCTCCCCCCCCCCGCCTCCCTGTGTCGAGCTTAAAATAGCCGTCCAGATCGACTCGATCGATATTTATGACTTTGTAGACCCCGATTAAATCCCCCGGGGAGTCTTTCTCCTCCATTCGGAAAGTCGAGGGATTCGGCATCTTGGCCCCGATATCTGCGCTCCTATTTATCTTCTTTGCAGTCGAGGAATGCCCCCCCGCTTACTCTCCGTTGGGAATCTCTCCCGGACACAGCTCCGTCCACTCTCCGTAACGCGCTGACCGGAGCCGAGGGCGAATCCCCGCCAGGAGGGATCGTCTCGCAGGCGCATCCTCACAGCCTTGGCATCACTTCCTTTTCGTACGGTCACAGTGGAAGCCTCTCGCTGCGGGCCCCGAGCATTGGACTGGCTTTGGTCTCCGCTCCTCCGGGTTGTCCGGACGAGGACGACGGCGGAGTCGAACGTCAAAATTCTTGGTTTGCGCGGTGACTTTTGCCGCGATCGGGTAGTGCGAGTTGATTTCGTCCTCTTTTGGAGTGAGATAAATGTACAAGATTGTCATTGTCATTGAGACGTCGTTTCCTTTACGGGCGGTCAACGTAACGGCCACAGGTATTGCATGCCCCATGGGTTTGGCATTAAATATTGTACTGTGTTTATAAACATTACTCATTACTGCATAGTGATATTGCATTGTACTTAATAATAATTACAGCCTTTTGTCAATCCACTGCTGGATGAAGGCCTCCCATGCTACGTCAGCCATGGGGATTGTTTGACTATACAGATCCCATACCCGCCCCAACTGGACATCTGTGAAAAAGAGCTTCATAGCTCATCGGATTTCTCCAGCATAAATAAAGATTCTCACACATTGTCCAACGCCGTTTTACCGAACGCGTGTTTCGGCGATACGCGGTGCACTAATTGAGGTACGTTTTTTTTATCCTGGACACGGTGGGGGTGGGGGGTGGGGGTGAGGGGTGTGGGGTGGGGGTAAGGGGTGAGGGGGGGGTGATGTTACAGGTGGAGGCGGTTTGACACTGCCGAAATTCTCCAACCCCTGCCGCTTTGAAAAGTAGTGGTGCGGTCCACTTGCGAGTCCCTCCAGCGCCTCCACCACCAACATCGTCGCCGTCTTCCCCTTCATCGTCGCCGTCGTCGTGAGTTAAAAAAAAACGTTTTCGGTTTCACGTTTTGAAAATTAGCTTTACGTCCCAATTTTATTTTACTCACTGTTTGCGTTACTAACGTGTGTGGTTTTGCTGTGATAAGGGCGAAAATCGTGTGGAAACTATAAGTTAAACAAAGTGGGAGGAAGTGGTGATAATCACCATCATCATCGTCATCATCCATCGAAGTAACATTTTAAAATTTCACTTGTTTCATTCTATGTTTAAATATCTTTTATTTCATTATATTTACATGTATGTGTCTGGTTTTTTTGCTACGTTATATCAAGTGGGGGAAATCGTGTAGAATTAGCTAACAACGAGGGGACGGAGCGATAACTTCGGAACCCAGGGACGCTACCCCCAAGTTCTTCCTCGAAGCCGATCGTTTACCGCGGTTTTTCCCAACGTAACCTCCAACCCCCCGGCACGTTGGGCGAGGTCCGACTCGACGTTGAGTGTTGATGAAGGGGGGTGGCTAGAACGCCCTGCTGCTGCTGCTGCTGCTGGGCTTATCGGCTTCGCCACCGAGACGCGAGCCACAGTCGGGGATATCGAACTCAAGTCTCCGGGTTCACTGCCCCACCCCAGCAAAAAAAAAATAATCGCGTTTTTTTACCAACCTTAAAACATTTCATACACGCACACGCACGCACACACGGCGTCCACGTCGGAGGGTAAAGCACTCGCAGAGCCCCGAAGCATTATCTGGAACGCTGGAGGACAGCGCAAGAGGCGACCGCGCCAAGTCCCGGTCCCTCACACCGCCCACCGCCAGGGCCACCCCACCACGAGATCCCTCGCGACGCCAAGGGGGCTGAACCCCCAGCACGGGCGGGCCCTGCCACGGCCGTCCCTCACGCACGCGGCGAGCGGCACGATGCAGGTGCCGGGCCCCCCCCCCCCGGGCACCGGGGTTTCCATCGCGATCCCCGCTGGGGGCCACGTCGGGCCTTGGCGACGATCGGACGGGCTCCCTCCAGCGCCGGGGAAGACCGACGACGCTCGCGGAACGCCGAGTTGAAGGTTTTTGAAGGTGCAAGAGCTGGAGAGGTCAGCGGCACTGGGTCGCGACGAGCTGCGTGGGGTGTGGCCTGACGACAAGGTGACCTTTAGCATCTGTGACCCGGGGTATCATGGTGATCCCGAGCGATTGTTTGGGGTCACCGTGGCCTGCGGATCCTCGAGGATTTCGCGAGAGGCGGTCGGCACGCCACGTCAGAGCAGGGTCTCCTTCGTGGAGCGGACACTCCCCCCGGATCCCCCGCTCCTCCCGGGCCCCCCACTCCCTCCGAGCCCCCCACTTCCTCTACTTCGCCCGCCGCTCCCCGTGGAAGATTCTCCGCTCGTCCCGAGCCCCACGGTCCCATTGGTCGCCACGGTCACCCCGCACGCTCCCCCGGGGCTCTCACTGATCCCCGCAGTGCCCACGATCTCCATGGGGATCGCGCTGCCTCCCATCCCCACGAGTCCTCCGAGTACCCCGAGTCCCAGGGAACCAGCCGGGACCCCCGAGGCCCTGACGTCCCCTGGGCGGGTGCCGTAGCGGTCCCGGACGATGACGTTGATGTAGGCCTTCATCAGCTTGGCCACCTCCACCACCTGCAAGGGCAACAACCACAGTGCCTCGTTAAAGAGGAAGTCACTCGAGTCACGTGCCCTGCCGGCGGTCAGTCGCCTTCTTACCACTCTTCCATCGCTACTACAATGGCCGCTCTTCCCGTGAACTTCACTCTTTGATTCCTCCACCTGTGTAGAGGACTCGGCCTCTACACTATTTCATCTCCTCCATCGTCACTGCACTGTGTTCGACCACCATCACTGAGCGAGCGAGCGAGCGAGCGTTCGTATGCGAGTACCTGGGGCGTGTGGAAGAGCATCTCGCGCTCCATCACCACGATCTTGTAGGTGTTGTGCAGCGGCGCCCCGAACGACAGGATGTTCTCGTAGGGGAATGTGTCGAGGGGACTCGGCTCGCCGCGCCGGTACACGGACACCGCCGTGGCGCCCACCGCCAGCCACAGGGAGCACGGGAAGCCGCCCTCCTTGCACTAACGAGCAAAGACAAAGGTCCCCCCGTTAGCCTGTAATGGACTGTCGAGGCAAGTGCTGTTGGCGAGCGACACCTCTGAAGGGCGGTCTTTCCCGCGTGGTGATGTTAGACGCCACGACAGGCACATAGCACGCAGAGAGAGATGGGAGAACAGCAGATATAGACACGACACAGGCGGTAAGGCATACACACAGAAATAAAAAGACAAAGGTCCCCCATTTAGCCTCTTACAGATGATTGTTGGAGCAAGTGCTGTAAGAGAGCACCTACAGTGAGGGGAAAAAAAGTATTTGATCCCTTGCTGATTTTGTACGTTTGCCAGAAAAAAGCATGTCAAAAATGTTATAAATTGATTTGCATTTTAATGAGGGAAATAAGTATTTAGCCCCCTCTCAATCGGAAAGATTTCTGGCTCCCAGGTGTCTTTTGTACAGGTAACGAGCTGAGATTAGGAGCACACTCTTAAAGGGAGTGCTCCTAATCTCAGCTTGTTACCTGTATAAAAGACACCTGTCCACAGAAGCAATCAATCAGATTCCAAACTCTCCACCATGGCAAGACCAAAGAGCTCTCCAAGGATGTTAGGGACAAGATTGTAGACCTACACAAGGCTGGAATGGGCTACAATACCATTGCCAAGCAGCTTGGTGAGAAGGTGACAACAGTTGGTGCGATTATTCGCAAATGGAAGAAACACAAAATAACTGTCAATCTCCCTCGAACTGGGGCTCCATGCAAGATCTCACCTCGTGGAGTTGCAATGATCATGAGAACGGTGAGGAATCAGCCCAGAACTACACGGGAGGATCTTGCCAATGATCTCAAGGCAGCTGGGACCATAGTCACCAAGAAAACAATTGGTAACACACTACGCCGTGAAGGACTGAAATCCTGCAGCGCCCGCAAGGTTCCCCCCGCTCAAGAAAGCACATATACATGCCCGTCTGAAGTTTGCCAATGAACATCTGAATGATTCAGAGGACAACTGGGTGAAAGTGTTGTGGTCAGATGAGACCAAAATGGAGCTCTTTGGCATCAACTCAACTCTCCGTGTTTGGAGGAGGAGGAATGCTGCCTATGACCCCAAGAACACCATCCCCACCGTCAAACATGGAGGTGGAAACTTTATGCTTTGGGGGTGTTTTTCTGCTAAGGGGACAGGATAACTTCACCGCATCAAAGGGACGATGGACGGGGCCATGTACCGTCAAATATTGGGTGAGAACCTCCTTCCCTCAGCCAGGGCATTGAAAATGGGTCGTGGAACGGTATTCCAGCATGACAGTGACCCAAAACACATGGCCAAGGCAACAAAGGAGTGGCTCAAGAAGAAGCACATTAAGGTCCAGGAGTGGCCTAGCCAGTCTCCAGACCTTAATCCCATAGAAAATCTGTCGAGGGAGCTGAAGGTTCGAGTTGCCAAACGTCAGCCTCGAAACCTTAATGACTTGGAGAAGATCTGCAAAGAGGAGTGGGACAAAATCCCTCCTGAGATGTGTGCAAACCTGGTGGCCAACTACAAGAAACGTCTGACCTCTGTGATTGCCAACAAGGGTTTTGCCACCAAGTATTAAGTCATGTTTTGCAGAGGGGTCAAATACTCATTAAAATGCAAATCAATTTATAACATTTTGACATGCGTTTTTCTGGATTTTTGTTGTTGTTATTCTGTCTCTCACTGTTCAAATAAACCTACCATTAAAATTATAGACTGATCATTTCTTTGTCAGTGGGCAAACGTACAAAATCAGCAGGGGACCAAATACTTTTTCCCCTCACTGTATGAAGGGCGGCACAGCACACGAGGGGCTGGGTGGCACCACGCAGACGCGCAGGAGGAGCGGCGGGTGGCGCATCGGGCGGTGGGAAATGAAAAGAGTCGCTACCTCGACGTCGAAGAGCGTGGCGCCGTACCCCGACCACTCGCGCACGAGCGCCATGTAGAGCGCCATCGCTCGCTCCTGCCCCACGCCGTGCAGCCGCCGCCACTTGTCGACGACGCCGGCGCGCACCGCCTGCTCCTCCTCCTGCACCCACATCTCCAGCGCCTGCGTTGGCGCCACGCTCGCCGGGCCCGCCGCCTGCCCCTGGCTGTGCCGCCGCTTCGAGTTGCCCCCGGCGCCGCCGCCGCCGCCGCTGCTGTTGCTGCTGCGCCGGCTCCGCCGCAGCGTTCCGTCCAGGAAGCTGGAACGCTTCTTCTCCGGCGGCGGCGGCGGCGGTGGCGCCATCGGTTGGGGCTGCAGGGAGGTGACTTTGGTGGACTGAGTGACGCGAGCCCTGAGGCGGGCCAAGGGGTAGATGTCTTCCAGCGGGGGTAAGGGGGGCAGGCCTGAGGCTGTCGGTGAGGAGGCCAAGGAGGAGGAGGAGGATGATGAGGAGATGGCGGACGAGGAGGGGGAGGAGGCGGACGAGGAGGGAGAGGAAGCGGGGAGCGAGGCCAGCGCCAGGTCGCCCAGCGCGTACTGCAAGCGCAGCGCGGACAGCTGCTGCAGGGTCTCATCCGGAGCCGGGAAGTGGCCGCTGATGACCATCTCGTGGGCCTGGAGGGGACGCACGGCGTCAACGTCAACGCGACATCACCATCGCCAAAGCGTCGCCATCACGACATCGCTGCAATATCACCATCACGGTGACATCGCCGTGACATCACCATCACCACCACGACAACATCACCCTTAAAATGCCGCGAGGGAATCACCGGAACCAAATCGGCATTGTCATTGCTCCTCCTTCCGTAGAAGGAGCGCAGACCACAGCGGGATTCACTGTTGCGGTCCGTCACGTGGGTTGCATGGCCAAAGTGGCACTCCTGTCGCTGTGTCTCTGATAAGGGCGCACGCCACTCTATAACGCTGCGCCGTGTGCTTATCGTTGGAGTGTACCGTGCATCGGAAACGATGACATCTCCGTCTCACCTGCTCGAACATGAACGCGAACTCGACACTGTCGGGCATCACGCCGTGCGTGTCCAGGAAGCAGTAGAGCTTGAAGTAGAGCTGAGCACCCTGGCCCCCCACACTGCCCCCCGCTCCACCAGGATCCTCCACCTCCCGCAGCCCCCGCTCGTCCGCCAGCCTGTCACGCGCACAGAGACAAAGACCCTCCCGTTTAGCCTTAACAGACTATTGGGGTAAGTTCTGTTAGCGAGCACCTATTAAGGCCGGCACGGCACACGACGGGGTGGGTGGCCAGCACCACGCCCGACTGCCTTTGTCTCCCCAGTGGCAATGTTTACACACCACACCAGGTACTCATTTGAGGCTGAGTCGACCTAGGAGAGGCCCAGGACCGGTTCAGATAAATGTTACTGGTGTTGGCCGTGAGCGGGAATCGAACTCGGCACGCCGGGTTCATAGGCCAGCACGCTAACCACTACACCACCGCTCCGCACGCACGTACACACGCGCGCACATACACGCACGCACGCATGTATATGCACGCACACACGTGCACACAAACGGGCACACACGCGCATGTACACACGTGCGCACACACGCACGTACACACGCGTGCATACACACACACGCACGCATGTATACGCACGCACATACACGCACACACGTGCGCACGCACGTATACGCACGCACACACACACACGCACACACGCACACACGCACACACATGTGCACACACGCACGCACACACGTGCACACACACACGCACGTACACACGCGCGCGCGTGCACACACACACGCACGCACGCACGTACATATTACGTGCGTTGTTATTATTTGTATCCCTGTTGTCATCATGCTCCTCCCGTACTCGGAACATTCGGCAGAGTAACAATAATATCCAGTGTGAAGTTGTTATCTTGCTGCCGTATGTTTTCTAGGATTTTAAACGAGAATGATAATCAGAGGAGCGGTGTGGGATGGCGGTCGGCAAGCGCACCTCTCGAAGCCGGCGAGCACGTCGGCGACGAGGGCGCGTGCCTCGACGGCGCGGTCGGTGCCGTCGCGGCGCTCGAACAGAGAGAACCAGTTCCGGCTCTCCTCCATCGCCAGGCCCCGCAGCAGCTTCTCCACCACCTGGCCACGCACGCACGCACGCGCATGCACAGACGGACACGCGAACGTAACGTGCACCTGCCGCCGTGGGCAAACGTCATCGTCGGCCTTAGCGGGCGGTCACTAACGGCGTTCGCCGCGACAACGCGTCGAAGGCTCCCCCGCCCGGGGGGACCGTGGCGCTGAGGGGGCCCGCACCTCGCCGGCGGTGGTGTAGGGGTGCACGGAGATGCGGCAGGCCCCGCCGCCGTGGCAGTGCACCGTGGCGCTCATCTCGGCGCGTGCCATCACGGCGTGCAGCTCGGCGCGCGAGGGCACCGCCTCGCGCGGTCGCGAGCGCCGCACCGCGTCCTGGATGAACGCGCAGAAGAGGTCCGTCTCCGAGCCGGCGTGATCCTCGCGCGCGCTGCTCACACGCGGACGCACGCACGCACGCACAAACACGTAAGCACGCACGCGTACACACACAGGCACAGGCAGATACGTCTGCCATTGCGAGATTATGCTCTCCGACAGCGCTGATGCTTTTAAGTCCCGACTTAAAACCACATCTTTTAAAAACAGTTTTCTTCTAATGGCCTACATTCCTCCCTGGCTCTGCTCTTGTCGCCCGGTTCATTCTTTGTTATCGTTGTCCTTGTGACGCACGGCGCCTTGAGACATTGTGAAAGGAACGTAAGAAGTGTAAGTCATTATTATTATTACTACTAAGCGTACGCTAACCCCAATAACTTTACTAACGACCCTCGATCCCGACTTCCACCCCCAAGTCCAAAATCACCCCTCTTATTCTCAACTCCAACTCCCAACCCCTGAGCCAACCTGCCGGCCCCCCAAAACTCCGTGACGGGGCGCCGCCCCCACCACCGCCCCCCCCCCCACACCACCGCCCCCCCCCCCACCCTCCCCTACCACCACGTGCGTGTGCCCACCGCTTGAGGTGGATCTTGAGGTAGCGCAGCACGGCGCGACCGGGCGGCAGGGCGCAGACGGCGCACGCCAGCGCCTGCCAGAGGCGCAGCGCGGCGGCTGATCCGGGCGCCGGGTGGGCGCTCGTCTGCTTCACCAGTTGCAGGTAGAGCTCGTCGCGCAGCGGGCGCAGGTGGCGGCACGTGCGCAGCACGGCCTGCACCGGCGGCACGGGGTCGGCGGCCGTCTCCAGCTCCTGCACCCGCTGGAACAGGCGCACCGCCTCTTCCTGCAGCCTCCCGTAGCCGCACTCTCGCTGCACTACGGGGGGGGGGGGGGTAGGTAGGGAGGGAGGGAGATTTTTGGAAACGTCTTGTCGCCAGGACACTGGCACACATGGCCTCCTCTTTCTATCCGCGACCCTCTGGAACAAGCGGTAAACGCGGTGTGTGTTACGTCATGCGGGGTGGGTCACGTGACGCGGCGTTGGTCACGTGACGCGGGGCTGCCCTGGGAGCTCACGGGAGAGGCTGGCGTCGCCGTAGGGAAGGGGCAGCAGTGGCGAGTGCAGCGCGTGCGGCGAGTAGCGCAGGATCGGGTTGCGTCGGTAAATCTGCTCCACTATCTCCGGATTCGCACTGTTGTCCTGCACGGGGGGCGGGATCAGGAGAGCGGCAGTGTGTGATCATTATCATCATCATCGTCATCATCAACAACATCAACAACATCATCATCGTCGTCAACATCGTCAATCCTTCCCGCAGAATCACCAACACCACCGCCACGCTCATAGTAATTGTCAGCATCTCCACCACGATCACCAGACCACATAGCCGGGCACGGACACATGTTTGTGCATGCACACATGCGTGTGTGTGTGCATGTGCGCGGAGCAGCAGGTGCTTGCGTGTGCACGTGTGTGTACATATGTGCGTGCGTGAGGAGCGGTGGCGCAGTGGTTAGCGCACCACACTTCACCCGTATTCGAACCACATCCACTGTGGCGAATATCTGACAATCAGTGCCGTGCCACCTCTAGGCCGACTCATCCTTAAATGAGTACCTGGTGCAGTGTCTAAAAGCATCAGCACCGAGGAGACAAAGGCGGCCAGGCCATACCGGCCTTCTTTAAATGCTCTGAATCAGCACTCGCCAACGACATTATGTTGAGGCTACGGAGGGGGGGGGGGGGATCTGTGTGCGCGTGTGCTCACCCTGATCTCCTGGATGAGCTGCTGAGTCGGCGTCTCGACGGGAACCTTGGAGTCGATGACCGACTGCACCGAGTCGGCCCAGCGCGACGCCTCGCTCTGCAGCCGCGTGTAGAGGCGGCACGAGTGCTTCCTGCCGTGCACCACGACGCACCAGTAGCCTGGACGGCACCGTCACCGACACCAGCACGGAACGTCAACGCCCGGCGCCGTCAACACGAGCCGCGTGTACGGGTTTCACGAGTGCTTCCTGCCCTGCACCACGACGCACCAGTAGCCTGGACGGCGACGTCGTCAACCGACGCAGTATCAACACGCAACGCGGAATTTCGACTTTCAAAGCTGACACCACCAAAGGCGGCCATATCGTGAGTGGAGGCCGATGTCGTTGGCCCAAGCGTGGACACCGATGGCTGCGCTCGCGATGCGGGCGGCCAAATCACTGGCGGGGGGCATGGATCGTTTGGACGCGAAGGCGACAATCGCAGACTTGAATAATTGCGACACTCCGTGTGGGCATTGGCCAATGTCTGGATTCATCATTCCGAAACGGGGAGGCATTGATGGCTCGCTCGGTTCTCACGTGACGGCGCAGTTCCTTCTTGCCCCGATTTCTACGCGTTTCATCGCTGCGCCTTATTTTCGACTTCCGCTTTTGTTCACGGCAATTGTCGTGAACCCCGCGTCACTCTCGTGAACGCCAACGAGCCCAGCCGGCGTTTCCCCCGACGATCGCTACGCTCCGAGCGGCGGAAACACGACCCCGGCGCGGCCGGCTCTGCGTCGCGGTGTCACGGCCGTACCCGTGGTGTCGTCGTGCTGGCTCACGGAGCACAGGCTGTTGAGCACCAGCGTGCCCAGCTTGGGGGCGGCTCGCTCCGCGTTGCGGTAGCAGTCCAGCGAGTTGTGCGTGAGCACGAACCAGCGCTTCTTGAGCTTGGGGACGGCGCCGCTGTGACCGCTGCGGGCGCTGCCGGCCTTCCCCTCCTTGTGCAGCCAACCTGCGCAGGCGGGAGACGCGGGGGCAAAGCGGAGGAGCGCGAGCGTCACGGAAGCATCGCGGCGCGTCGCCGAGGACCGCGCGGCGCGAGCGGCCGGAGCGATCGCGGACGGCGCCATCGCGGGTGACCGACCGCAAACGGCCGTGCACCGCGAGCGCCGCGAGAGTCGCGAGGCTCGCGCGTCGCTCGTTCCGCAGCGAGCGAGCGTGCGTATCCACATGCGATGGCGTGAGGGTTGGGGTGAGCAACGTTTGCGAGTCAGCGATTGAGAGGGTGAGCAGAGGTGGGATAGAGGGAGTGACCAAGTCAGTGATATGGCAGCGAGCGAGCATGTGCCTGAGCGAGTGAGTGTGTAAGTGTGTGGAGCGAACGACCGAGTGAATAACAGAGTGACGAGCTCGCGAGCGGTGAACGAGCCAGCAAGCAAGTGACCGTGCGAGTGAGCGAGCGAGCGAGCGAGCCAATAACGCAGCGAGCGTCCCACGAGCTGGGGACTCTCACCGCGCACGATGAACTCCTGTCCATCGACGCGCGCATCCCCCTTGCTGCGCTGCAGCAGCGCGATCCAGTGGTGCATCTCCTTGGCCGAGTCGGCGTTACACTGCAGCACGCGCTCGGCCGTGATGATCACAAACCCGTGCGGCCTGCGGTTATGCACGCAATAATATACGCACGCATTAACACACGCACGCAATAATATACGCACGCATTAACACACGCACGCAATAACACGCGCACGCAATAACACGTGCACGCAATAGCACGCGCACGCAATAACATACGCACGTAATTAGATATGCACGCAATAACATACGCAAGCAATAACATACGCAAGCAAATACACGTGCCCGCCATTACACACACACACACACAGCCATAATCAACAGCCCAAACTCCTAACGCCAATCCCATCCCCTAAATCATTTCCCAACCACTTACCCAAATCCCAAACTAGAATCCCTGCACCATTCCTAACCCCAGCCCCAACTCCTAACCCGAAACCTAAATCCAACACTAACCACCTAACCCCAACCCCAAGCACAAGACCCGAACCCCAGCTCTAGCCACGACCCTGGCGGCAGAGCCCCCGTGACTTCAGCGGTGACTCTTACCGGTCGGGGTTGTCGGACGCACACACCGAGTCGATGACGCCCACGTCCATCGTGCCCTGCGGACACACGGAGAACAGGGTCACGGCACGCCACCGGGCGTCACGGCACGTCACCGCACGTCACCCCATGTCATAGCGTGTCGCCACGTCTCACCACGCGTCACCGCAGATCTCACTCATAATCAGTCGAGCGGCATTATGAACCAAGAGTCGTGGCGGTGACGTCACCGGCACTTCGGAGCAAATGACACCTGTTGTTGTTGTTGATCTGCGTGTGTGTGTGCATTGTCTGTGTGTGGACGCGTGTGCGTGCGTGTCGATGTGTATGCGTCTCACCACCGCATTCTTGGGGTTCGCCTGCTCGCTGTGCATCAGCTGCAGCTCCTTGTCCGATGCAGCGTGGACTCGGCTCAAAATACTGAACCACTCGCTACACACGCACGGGCACGAACGCACATGAACTCAGGAACACACAGACATGCACGCGTACGCACGTACTCACACACATGCACGTGAGCTCAGAAACACAAATGCTTGGACGCGGGAACACGCACGCACATACACGCCTAAAATCAAGCACTGTTGAGACAGGATTGGTGGATCACACGGGGGGGAGGGAGGGGGGGGGTTGTCACCTGGCGTCCTCGGGAGACTCGGCCACCAGGTGGTACTTGCGTTCGTTCATCACAATGTCGATCCCATTTTCCCGGCCCCCACCATCCAGGATCTCCCTGCAAAGACGAAGTTCCCCCGTTAACAGACTGTGTGTAGGGGGGCAAGTGCTGTTCGTGAGTAGCACCTGTGAAGGCCGGCACGGCAAAGCGAGGGATTGGGTGGCCAGCACCACGCCCGGCCGCGGCGTAGTCTCGCTGAGCGCGGCGCGGCGCGGCGCTACCGTGCGGTGCGGTGCAACGCGGCGCTTCGTCGCGACGCGTGGACGCTGCGGCCGCACCGTGCGGCGTGCACGCTGACGGTGCCGCGGGGCTTCTCCTCGGCGTCGCCGTCGTAGTAGGTGAGCACGGCGCCGCGCAGCACGAACCAGCGGCGCTTCCAGCTGCGGCGCGACAGCGTGGAGGCGCCGCCGCCCTTCTTGAGTAGCCAGCCGGCCTTGAGCGCCTCCTGCTTGGCGCGGAACCAGAGGAACGTCTCGTCCTTGAGCACGCACCAGCGGCGGCGCCACGCGTTCATCAGGCCGCCTGCGGAGGAGGAGGACGAGGAAGAGGGTGATAGAGGGAGGACAGTCACAACCACGCAAACATGCGACTGCACGCAGGTAGCATCACAGATATTTAAAAAAAAACACTTTTGGTGCTTGGTACAATTAAATAATAATTACTGTTTGTCTTGGCCACATGCCTTTTCATACTCGTCACAATGATCATTAGGAAATGTATTAAGTTAATGGTTGTTTGAGCATCTATGTTGTCTTGTGAAAGAACGTAGCACCACAGACAGGAGTCTAACTTGACTTGAGAGCTACGTAACCATGAGAACCCCGTTGGCGCATAATGCGGGGACAGATGCCCATTACCCCCCCCCCCCCTCCGTATCTATTAAACCGTTAAGCTGCGCTACAACAGGCGTGGCACACGAGGCCAAACACGCGCACAAACTATCGCTCGCTCCATAAAAGGAAAAGAGATTGATGGCCAAACTGGGAGGTTTAATGAAAAATGTGCAAGGTCTCCATTGTCTCACAAAAGAGAGAAAAAACACTCCTCTCTCTCTCATGTGAAACATCCGATAAGGATTAAAAGTAACATTGGTCCATCCATGAAGTGAGTTTATTCATGGGGTACGTTGGGAGGAGACAGCCAGCAGAAGCGGGGTCCGGCACAGCGCCCAGAACAAGCAGAACGGCCGGATGGAGACCAGAGGAAGATTGGAGGCGAGACAGCCAGAGAGCACCCAGACAGCCAGAGAGCACCCAGATACCCAGAGAGCACCCAGACAGCCAGAGAGCACCCAGACAGCCAGAGAGCACCCAGACACCCAGAGAGCGCTCAGATACCCAGAGAGCGCCCAGGCACTCAGAGAGTGCTCAGACAGCCAGAGAGCGCCCAGACACCCAGAGAGCACCCAGACAGCCAGAGAGCGCCCAGACACTCAGAGAGTGCTCAGACACCCAGTGAGCACCCAGACACCCAGAGAGCGTCCAGACAGCCAGAGAGCACCCAGACACCCAGAGAGCGTCCAGACAGCCAGAGAGCACCCAGACACTCAGAGAGCGCCCAGACACCCAGAGAGCACCCAGACACCCAGAGAGCGTCCAGACAGCCAGAGAGCACCCAGACAGCCAGAGAGCGCCCAGACACTCAGAGAGTGCTCAGACACCCAGAGAGCACCCAGATACCCAGAGAGCACCCAGATACCCAGAGAGCACCCAGACAGCCAGAGAGCACCCAGACAGCCAGAGAGCACCCAGATACCCAGAGAGCACCCAGACAGCCAGAGAGCGCCCAGACAGCCAGAGAGCGCCCAGACACCCAGAGAGCACCCAGACAGCCAGAGAGCGCCCAGACACTCAGAGAGTGCTCAGACACCCAGAGAGCGCCCAGACACCCAGAGAGCGCCCAGACACCCAGAGAGCGTCCAGACAGCCAGAGAGCGCCCAGACACCCAGAAAGCGCCCAGACACCCAGAGAGCACCCAGACAGCCAGAGAGCACCCAGACACCCAGAGATTACCCAGCCAACCAGAGAGCGCCCAGATACCCAGAGAGCGCCCAGACACCCAGAGAGCGCTCAGACACCCAGAGAGCGCCCAGACACCCAGAGAACGCCCAGACAGCCAGGAGCAGCCCTGGTGTTCACGTTGGCTGGGCAGCGTGCGCGCTCCCCCCGTTATCGCGATTCTGCCCTCCATAGAAATCGTGCACTGCACAAGAACGGCTGAAAATAAACAGCGAGAAGGTGTGGTACAGCAGTTGAGAATCTAGACAATAAGGTTGCCTTCTGTCATTGTGAGTGGGCAAGCAGGTAGCAATATAAGTGGGTGAGTAATAGGATGCATGGGTGAGGGAGTGAGAGGTCAAGTGAGTGAGCAGGCTATTGAGTAAGTGGGTGAGCGGTGAGCGGGTGAGCAGGTACCCTTTATGGAGAGGAAGCTGTGGAAGTAGGGAACGCCCACGGAGCTGTAGACAGCCTCCCTCCGCCCAAACTCCTCGCTCAACAGGGACTCCAACTCATCATCGCTGTCCTCCAGCTGAACACATGCATACAAAGACAAAGACCACCCATATAGCCTACACGGTGATGTTGGCGAGCACCTATAGTGAGGGAAAAAAGTATTTGATCCCCTGACAAAGAAATGATCAGTCTATAATTTTAATGGTAGGTTTATTTGAACAGTGAGAGACAGAATAACAACAACAAAATCCAGAAAAACGCATGTCATAAATGTTATGAATTGATTTGCATTTTAATGAGGGAAATAAGTATTTGACCCCCTCTCAATCAGAAAGATTTCTGGCTCCCAGGTGTCTTTTATACAGGTAACGAGCTGAGATTAGGAGCACACTCTTAAAGGGAGTGCTCCTATTCTCAGCTTGTTACCTGTATAAAAGACACCTGTCCACAGAAGCAATCAATCAATCAGATTCCAAACTCTCCATCATGGCCAAGACCAAAGAGCTCTCCAAGGATGTCAGGGACAAGATTGTAGACCTACACAAGGCTGGAATGGGCTACAAGACCATTGCCAAGCAGCTTGGTGAGAAGGTGACAACAGTTGGTGCGATTATTCGCAAATGGAAGAAACATAAAAGAACTGTCAATCTCCCTCGGTCTGGGGCTCCATGCAAGTCTCACCTCGTGGAGTTGCAATGATCATGAGAACGGTGAGGAATCAGCCCAGAACTACACGGGAGGATCTTGTCAATGATCTCAAGGCAGCTGGGACCATACTCACCAAGAAAACAATTGGTAACACACTACGCCTTGAAGGACTGAAATCCTGCAGCGCCCGCAAGGTCCCCCTGCTCAAGAAAGCACAAATACATGCCTGTCTGAAGTTTGCCAATGAACATTTGAATGATTCAGAGGACAACTGGGTGAAAGTGTTGTGGTCAGATGAGACCAAAATGGAGCTCTTTGGCATCAACTCAACTCGCCGTGTTTGGAGGAGGAGGAATGCTGCCTATGACCCCAAGAACACCATCCCCACCGTCAAACATGGAGGTGGAAACATTATGCTTTGGGGGTGTTTTTCTGCTAAGGGGACAGGACAACTTCACCACATCAAAGGGACGATGGACAGGGCCATGTACCGTCAAATATTGGGTGAGAACCTCCTTCCCTCAGCCAGGGAATTGAAAATGGGTCGTGGAACAGTATTCCAGCATGACAGTGACCCAAAACACACGGCCAAGGCAATAAGGGAGTGGCTCAAGAAGAAGCACATTAAGGTCCAGGAGTGGCCTAGCCAGTCTCCAGACCTTAATCCCATAAAAAATCTATGGAGGGAGCTGAAGGTTCGAGTTGCCAAACGTCAGCCTCGAAACCTTAATGACTTGGAGAAGATCTGCAAAGAGGAGTGGGACAAAATCCCTCCTGAGATGTGTGCAAACCTGGTGGCCAACTACAAGAAACGTCTGACCTCTGTGATTGCCAACAAGTGTTTTGCCACCAAGAACTAAGTCATGTTTTGCAGAGGGGTCAAATACTTATTTCTCTCATTAAAATGCCAATCAATTCATAACATTTTTGACATGCGTTTTTCTGGATTTTTGTTGTTGTTATTCTGTCTCTCACTGTTCAAATAAACCTACCATTAAATTTATAGACTGAACATTTCTTTGTCAGTGGGCAAACGTACAAAATCAGCAGGGGATCAAATACTTTTTTCCCCTCGCTGTATGAAGGTTGGCATGGCACACCTACAAGGGGGTGATGAGGCCAGCACCGTGCCCGGCCAACTTTGTTTCCCCGGTACTCTTATAAGGCCGAGCCGACTGTAGGCACAGGACTGGTTTAGACAATCTTCACCAATGTTGGCCGGGAGCGGGAATCCAACTCGGGTCGCCGGGTTCGTAGCGCGGCGCGCTAACCGCTACACCACCACTCCCCAGCAGCCACGCATGCACACATGCACACGTTAACCGGTTTCATGTAGACGCGTCGTATACTCACAGTGCAGGATCATCTGCACAGTGCAGGATCATTAGCGCAGCGTAGTGACACGCACGGTGTGACGCTGTGAGGTGCGACAATGCACGGTGCGAAATTATGGGACGTGTGACATAACCACAGCGTGATCCGTGCATGGTGTAATACGTGCGGTGCACGGTGCGGTGCACGGTGCATCGTGTGTGTGATGTACAGTGCGGTGAGCGGTGCAACGTGTGTGAAAGCACGGTGCGGTGCGCAGTGAAACGTGTGTGTGTGATGTACAGTGCGGTGCGCGGTGCAACGTGTGTGTGATGTACGGTGCGGTGCACGGTGCATCGTGTGTGTGATGTACGGTGCGGTGAGCGGTGCAACGTGTGTGTGAAAGCACGGTGCGCGGTGCGGCGCTCACGGAGGAGGTGCGCCCCTCGGAGAGCGAGCGGTAGGTCCCCGAGCTGGCGTACGTCCCCAGCGAGAGCCGCGACTCCCCGGACGCCGAGTGCTGGCGCGCGTGCGCCGCCCGGCCCGCGCACGCGCGCCGCATCGACACCGCCCCCCCGCCGCGGGCGGCCCGGCCCCCGCTGCCCTCGTCGCCCTCGTCGTCCTCCTCCTCCTCGAAGTCGAGCTCCTCTGCCTCCCCGCCGGCCGGCCTCACCTCGTCCGCCCAGATCTCCGAGCAGCGGCCGGCCGAGGCTGCTCGCGGCCACGGAGAGGAGGCGGGGGGGCAGGGGGTCGGGGGGGTTAGCGACTGGTAACGCGTCACGTGGCACCACCCCACCACTGTACTCTACTACCCTGTGTAGCCTGAACAGGATGTTGCGGCAAGTGCTGTTAGCGAGCAGCACCTGTGAAGGCCGGCACGGCACCTGAGGGGAAGGGGGGAGGGGTGGCCAGCACCCCGCCTGACATCACACCAGGTATTCATATTTGAGGCTCAGTCGACCTATTTGAGGCCCAGGACTGGTTCAGATAATCGTCACTGGTGTTGGCCGTGAGCGGGAACCAAACTCTGCTCACAACACTCGCGCCTATGACACGCCGCCCCAAACCGAAGCACCCGACATAAACCAGACTATTGGCCACGCCGCTCCACACAATTCAACATCAACGGTGCACCGCACCAGTGACCAACGCACACCACGCCGCTCGCTCGACACGACACGCGCCGAGAGCCAAGCCACCCACGCGCTGCACCGCTCCACAAGAGTGGCATCGGAGTTGTGCCCAAGGGGAAGAGCCGGAGCCGGGCGGAGGACCTTAGAGGCCGGCTCCCAACTTTGGCAATAACCACAACGAGAGAAACGAGCTCCACCGAATTCATCGAGGTGAACGGGCACAGGCTATGCCGCTGAAGCCGGGGGCGTGTGCAGGCCATGCGCTGAAGCCAATGGGCCGGAGGGGGCGGGGGGGTCCCCCCAGGCTATGATATAAAAAATACATCTGGGCATCGGCGCTTTGAATCGCCGCGCCGCTTAAGCGAGCGACCCTCGTCCGCTATTCCTCGCACTAATGCCACTGCCCAGGCTGCATTCCCTCGCTGGGAGGTGACATTCCATCACCCCCCCCCCGCTCACTTGGAGGCGTTGGGTCGGGAGGGCCGGGCGCGGCGAGCTGAGCGGGCCAAGCGGCAGTGGGGAGCAGGTACAAAGCCCCGTCTGCCTCGGAGGACCCCCCGCTGGCACGCTGACCCCCGGCGCTCGGCTCGCCCTGACCCCCCCGCTCACTGGGGTTTGGAGAATCTGGGGTAGACGGAAAGCGAAGAGCGTCGCTCACCCAGAGCTCCCTATCCGGCGGCGCTAACTACGGCTCGCCGGAAACGCTTGGAAACGCACGAGAATTACCTCTCAGAACCCGGACTCACTCGCCGGAGTGACCCCCTGCTACACCCGCTCGTCAGCGTCCGCCACTCGCCACCGTTAACGCCGCCGTCATCACCGCCCGGTGACCGCCACTAACGCTGCCACCACTACCGGCGCAACATCGTCGTCGTCATTGCACGCAGAGGTCACAGCAAGGTCACGTGGATATAAAAAGTCGGAGGTCGGAGTGGAAACGAGGGCATGTAGACATGCAGAGGTCAAGTTGAGGTCACGTGGTATCGCTAAAGGTGATGTCGAGGTCAAGTAGAGTTCACGAGGAGCTTATGTAAAATTGGTGCAGAGATCACATGGGGAGGGGGGGGGATGGCATGCGAAGGTCATAGAGGACTCACGTAGGGAGGGGACTTATGGAGGTCATATGGAGGTCATGTAGGGGTCAAGAGCAGGTCACGTGGAAGTCGCGTACGAGTTCACGTTGAGCGGTGTGGCTGACCTTTGAACCCGTCGTCGCCGGCAACGAAGCCCTCGTCCTCCTCGTCGTGGGGGGCGGGGGGGAAGGGGTCGAGGAAGCGAGGGGGCTTGGCGGGGGGCGGCCCGTCCCCGAGTTCGTAGAGGCCGAGCTCCATCACAAACTCCCGCGCCGCCTGCAGGGCCTCCAGCTCCAGACGCTCCAGCTCCTCTTCCTCCCCACCCGCGCACTGGCAACCATCGCCGCGGCAACAGCGACCGCGACGACGGACGCCGCCGCAGAAACAACAACCGTTGCCCCGGTGAGAATCACCGCGGCGATAAGACTCAGCCATAGCAACAATCACCAGCGACACGAACGTGTACGGCCGTTTTGCCAATCCACTGCTGGATGAGGGTCTCCCCCTCATGCCGTACGGATAATAGGGGATGTTTGACCATACTTCCCCACACTGGTCAGTGTGGGTTGGTGAAGGCGTGGAGTATAGACATCCGACCACAGCAGAGCACAACAACATCACTTGCTGCGCTGCACTCTCCTGCCCTCAACGTAGCTCAACAGCAGTCCGCAGCACCTGTTTGTTTGCACGGCGGTCGGCCACACAACAACTATCCAGGCTCAAATTGCTTCGCTTCCGAGATGTCGATTTCGTCACCAGCAGTGAGATGGAGCTCCAGCGAAAATCACTGTTGTTAGCCCTGTCACCAAGGTCACGGTGAAGCGCACCGACCGCTACGCTACCTCTCCCCGCATACAAAGACAAAGCCGCGCAGCCAATAAGTTGCCGATGTCCCCTACCTGGGGTTCTGGCTGGAGGTCGGCCTGGCTGAGCAGGGCGGGTGGCGGGGGCAGCTCCATGGTTGCCACTTCAGCTTGGCTGCCCCCTACACCGCGGGCAGCTGGGCATTCTGGGAGTGCCGCCACCTCCGGCGGCTCCTGCGGCTCCCCTCCTTCGTCCTGGGCGCCCGGCTTCGCAGGCTAACGGGGTTATCATGAACACCGCATGAGCGCTACATTCACTCCACTCGCATTTTGAGGTGTGTGCGTATGTGTTTGTCCATGTGGGTACGTCCGTGCGCGCGTGTGTCTGCGCCGCACCGTGTGCGCCGCCCCGTGCTGGCTGCGGATCAGCTGGAGCTGCTCACGGCCGTCGCGGCTGAGCCCGGCCTCACGCTCACGCTGCTCCCGCTGCAGCCGGGCGATCTGGCGCTCCAGGAGCAGGATCTCCCGCAGGCCGCCCCCACCGGGGTCACCACCGGGGTCACCACCGGGGTCACCACCGGGCTCCGTCTCCTCCGCCGGCGAACCACGCGCCGCCGCCGCCGCCGCTGCCGCCGCCGCTGCCGCCGCCGCCGCCTCCTCCTCCAGCAGCAAACGCGTCTCCAGCTCCCTCTGCAATATGGCGAGCGACGACATAGCCCACCGCTGCCACCGTCAGCACACACACGGCCTTCACCTACACCACAACTACCACCGCCGTCTAAATACGGCGGTGGCGGTCTTCATATCCATCACCATCGCCGTCTACCGTCATTGTTCATCGTACCCCACCAACACACAAATTATCGCAGCCATAGCCACCAACTCTTCATCAATATCAACGTTCTAGTTATTGAGAACCCCCCTCCCCACCCCGTGAACCCCCCCCCCCCCATTCCAGTCACCCTCTCACCCGCTTGGCCGCCTCCTCTCTCTCCAGTCGCTCCCTCTCCCTGCGCGACACAAGCAGATCGACAATCAGCAGCAGCACGCGTACAGCGACAGTGTAGTGGGGTTAGCACTCTTCGCTGGTTGGCTAGTTGGGTAGCGGTGGGGCTAGCGCGAGTCGCTGGTGCTAGGGGAAGCCACTTGCGTTGCGATGGCTAACAAGGTCCTCCAGCAAGCTGCTGCACCGCACGTTCTATATCAACATGATTTAAACAGCTTGTTCAATCTCGTATTTCTGTGTCGCATCACCGCCCCTTGCCACACCATCACATCTAACCACACCTGGCCACACGTCCACCCCTAGCCACCCCTAGCCACACCACCGCCCCTTGCCACACCATCACACCTAACCACACCTGGCCACACCATCACACCTCGCCACCCCTAGCCACACCACCACACCTCGCCACCCCTAGCCACACCACCACACCTCGCCACCCCTAGCCACACCACCACACCTCGCCACCCCTAGCCACGCTGCCGCCCCCGGCCACGCCGGCCGCCGCCGCCGCCGCTGCTGCGGGCCAACGCGGCGCTCACCTGTCCTGGCGCTCCTTCTCCTCGGCCCGGATGCGCCGCTCGTGCCGCAGGGCGGCGCAGCGCCTCCTCGCCAGCGCCCCCCGCCGGAGACGCTGGGCGGTGAGCGCCGCGCGGCGCCAGCGCAGGAAGCGCACGCGGCACAGGCGCCCGCGCAGCCAGCGCTGCAGGAGCAGCACGCCGGCGCGCACCGCCATGTAACGACGCCTGTGCCATGCGACACGCGAAACGCACCGAGGCAAAGATAAAGATCCCCCCCCCCCCCCCCCCACGTATGGCCTGCAACAGACTGTCGGGGGCAAGGTGCTGTCAGCGAGCACCTATTGATAAGGCTGACGAGGCACACGAGAGAGCGGGTGGTCAGCGCCGCGCCCCGGCTGATGTTCACACACCGCATTAGGGTACTCGTTTAATGCTGAGCCGACCTAGGCTCACGTGTTCTAACCAGTGTGCGCGTGGGCGTGTGTGCGTGTGTATGTGCGTGCGTATGTGTGTGTCTGTGTGTACGTGTGTGCAAGTGTGTGTTTTGTGTGTGTGTATGTGCGTGTGTACGTGTGTACATTCGTGTGTGCGTACCGGGCAAGTAGGCCGCGTGCGTGAGCTTGGATGGCGATGGCCGCGCGTGTGAACGCCGCGTCGCGCTCCGTCTCCAGCCGCAGCTCCAGGCTCTCGCGCAGGAACACCTGCAACACGGGCAGCGTGGGCAGCACTATCAACATGGGCAGCGCGGGCAGCGCGGGCAGCACTATCAACATGGGCAGCGCGGGCAGCACTATCAACATGGGCAGCGCGGGCAGCGCGGGCAGCACTATCAACATGGGCAGCGCGGGCAGCACTATCAACATGGGCAGCGCGGGCAGCACTATCAACATGGGCAGCGCGGGCAGCGCGGGCAGCACTATCAACATGGACAGCACAGGCATCACCATCAACATGTCAACATATGCGTGTTGGCACAGTGCTGGTGCATCTGTCAGCCATCTCGATCAGTCAACCCGTGGCACCTGGGTCTGTTCCGCGACCTCCTGCCAGCAGGTGCTTGACACATCACGTGGCCTTAAAGTGCACCTAGCTTGGCACAGGTGCCGTGGTGACATCACCGCCACTTAGTGGCGACATCACCGCCACTTAGTGGCGAATGGCGGTTATTGTTGTTTGTTTGTACGTGTGTACGTATGTGCGTATGTGTTCCTCAACAGCCTGCTAAGGCTTTGCGGGGGATCTTTGTCTATGTATGTGTGTCTACGTGTGTGTACATGTGTGTACGTGTGTGCGTGTACGTGTGTACATGTGTGCATACGTGTATGCGCATGTGTACACGTGTGTCCATGTGCGTTCGTACGTGTTTGTTCATACGTATGCGTGCGTGTGTGTACACGTGTGTGTGTGTGTGCGCACGCGTGTATGTACACGTGTGTGTGTGTGCGCATGCGTATGCTGTTGGCTGCGTGCCCGTGCCTTAGTCTTGCCGAGCTGCCACAGCGTGCGCGTGGGGTCAAAGGTTGCGAGCAGCCCCTCGCAGCGAGCGCGCTCATTGTGCGGCAGAGACATCGGGCGGCAGAGTGCGGCGTACCTAGGCAGGCAAAGACAAAGATCCCCCGTGTAGCCCACACAGACCGTTGGTGCAAGTGCAGTTAGGCAGCACCCATAAAGGCCGACGCGGCACATGAGTGGGGTGCTGTGGATAGCCCCACGCTCGGCCGCCTTTTTATCCCCCGTGGCGATGTTTACCACCGCCCTATTTACTCATTTAAGGCCAAGTCGACCTAGGAGAGACCACAGCACTTGTTCAGATAACCGCCGCTGATATTGTCCGCGAGCGAGTATCGAACTCGGGTCGCCAGGTTAGTAGCCCAGCACGCTAACCGCTACACCGCCGCTCCCCACAAACATTAACACAGCACATATACACTGACACGCACACATACACACCGGCACGCACGCACAGACATAGCACATACCGACACACGCACATATACACACAAAGATAAAGATCCCCCGTATAGCCTCAACAGACTGTAGGGGCAAGTGCTGTTAGCGAGCACCTATGAAGGCCGGAACGGTACACGAGGGGGTGGGTGGCCAGCACCACGCCCGACCGCCTTTGTCTCCCTAGTGGCGATATTTACACACCGCACCAGGTACTCATTTGAGGCTGAGTCGACCTAGGGGAGGCCCGGGACCGGTTCAGATAATCGTCACTGGTGTTGGCCGTGAGCGGGAATCGAACCCGGGTGGCCAGGTTCATAGCGCAGCGCACTAACCACTACACTATCACACCGGCACGCACGCACAGACATAGCACATACACACCGACACACGCACATATACACACGCACACTGAGACACAGCGCATACGCACGGACACGCACACACACGAACGTGAGTGTATGTTTACGTGAGTGTGTGTACATTGGAGTGTGTGTACGTGTGTGCGTGTACGTGCGAGTGTGTGTACATGCGAGCGTGTGTACATGCGAGCGTGTGTGTTTGATGAGTGTGTGTACATGCGAGTGTGTGCGTGCGTGCGGGCACGTGTAAGTTCGAGTGCGTGCGCGAGTGTGTGCGCGTGCGAGCGTTACCGGCCGGTGAAGTCGAGGAAGCGCCGGCGCACGGGGAAACCGGAGCGGCGGATGCGCACCGTGTGGAGCATCCCCGAGTAGCGTAGCTGGTTCAGCACCAGAGTGGGCTCGAAGCGCGCCGACATCTACCTCGCACAACAACAACAACAACCACCACGCTAAACAACGAATCACACTAAACAAGTAAACACAACCACAACAGCGCACGCACAACGCTTACGCGATTGCCAGCGCTTCTTAGGGGACGAGCGCCGAGTCTCGGCGCCCAGCTGAGCGCAGGGGGCTTGCTTGCTGCACCGCTGTGCCCAGCTTGCTCTGCCACACCCAGCGCTCTCAAGACATCCCTACTCTCTCCTCCGCTCTCCTCTCTCCTCCCGTTTCCCTCCCCCCCCCCCTTTCTCCTCCTCTCTCCTCCCCCACTCTCCTCCTCCTCCTCCTCCACCGGCAGCCCAGCATCCCCGTGTCTCCGTGTCTCCGTGTCTCCCCCGAGCCTCCCGTGTCTTCTCCGCCCCTCCACGCCCTCCCTGTCCCCGTGTCCCCGAGTTTCCGCATCGCTGTACAACTTGCGTCTCTGCGTCCCTCCGTCACTTCTCTTCTCCCTGCAACTTGTGTCACCGTGTCCCCAGATCGCCTCGCTCCCGCGTAATCACGTTCTTCTCCGTGCCCCCCCTCTCGTCCTTGTGTAACTGTGTCTTCGTGGCCCTGCGTCCCCACGTCCCCCGTGGGCAGGGGGGTTGGGGGTGGGGGAATCACGCTGTGGTTGCACGGGCCCTCGTCCAGTGCTTGTCAATCACCCGTTGTTGTTTAACCGCCCAAGGGGCACAAAGGGTGCTCGCTTTCCCCGGCTCCCGGAGCCTCGCGGGCCGAGCCACGTGGAGCACGAACGCCAACGCGGAGCCCCGACTACAGACGCTCCCTTCAGCCGTCCGCAAAGAGGGGGTCCCTTGTGCCCGGCGCCGGAAGTACCGCCGCCCCCCACCCGGCACGGACGGCGCATCGCTCCCGGCACGGCGACGCGAGTATCGAGCTGCTCGCGACGGTGACCCGTCACCCTTGGCGTCGACGACCCCCGACCCGAGAACACGGATGACCCGAAACCCGCGAACACAGGAGGTCCTTGAGTAACGACCGGACCGGGGAATCCTGATGCTTGACGACGCCCGCCGCTCACTTCCGGCGCGACGCGACGGGGTGAGGGTGCAGGCGAACGAGCGTGGCCGCGCGTGGGCGAGCGGGGGCGAGTGCAAGGCAGCGCCGTGGACTGCGAGCGTACGACAGAGTGCGAGCGTGAGATGGCCTGAGCGAGTGTGAGCGTACGGGAGGAAGAAAGAGCTCCTGTGATGAGCGAGCGTGGGTGTACGAGAGTGAGCAAGTGAGCGCCGGCGAGTGACGCTTAGTGCGAGCGAGCGAGTGTTATTGAGCGTGAGCGTGCGAGCATGCGAACGAGCGCGCGAGTGTGAGAATCCAACCGAGTGCGAGTGGAGATGAATGAGTGTGCGAGTGAGTGACAATGAGACTGAAAGTGCGAGGTTGTGAGTGTGTGTCAGGTCGTGAGCGCGTGTGGGCGAGTGAGCGATTGTATGCCGGCAAAACCTTTTGGGCGTCTGCTAAGCGAACGCGACTGTGAGCGTGCACCAGTGAGTGTGCGTACCTTGTCACCGTTGGGCTTGATGCAGCGCACAAAGTATGGGTTGGAGGAGCTCAGAGATGACATGAGAGCGTGCAGAGAGTCCTGCCACCACAAAGACAAAGATCCCCCGTATAGCCTTTAGCACGCTGCTGGGGCGAGTGCTGTTAAGCGAGAGACTGTGAAGGTGGGGACGGCGCACGAGGGGCTGGGTGGCCATCACCACGCCCTGGTCGTCTTCGTCTCCCCGATGCTGATGTTTACACAACATATCGGGTACTGTTTTATGGCTGGGTTAACCTAGGGGGGGCCCAGGACCGATTAATATATTTTTAGCCGACGTTGGCTGCGAGCGGCGATCCAACTCGAGTCACCGGGTCCGTAGATCCCGCTGCGCCACGGCTCCCCACACACAACAACAACAACTGACGTCACTACGGCTCTTGTGCCAGGCTAAGTGCACTTTTTAAGGCAACGTGAAGAGTCGAAGTCCGTCTGCCAGGAGGAGGTCATGGGATAGACGCAGTTGCCATGGGTCGACTGACTGATACATCTGGCAGATGCACCACCTTTGCCCTCCCTACTGTGCCATCTCGCTACGTGTTAGCCAGCAGACTCTCCTGTCGTTTAGTAAGGGTCGCACCTCTGCCCTCCGTTGTTGTTGGAGGGCGACTACCTCCAACTGCGCAGTAGCGTCCTTCGTGAGCCTCCTCCACAGAGGCCGATCTTGACACCGCTGGTACCGGTTATCGGCAAGTCCACTCAGCTCCACATCCTATCGTGCCACATCACTCCGTCTCTTCTCTAGCCCGTGCCACGCCCGTTTATCCCCCCTCTATTCGGCTCCCCAAAAAAACAAAGACACACACGCGCACATATCTCATGATGTCCGTGGCAAGGGGCCGGGTGTAGTGGTGGTGGTGGTCGTGGTCGCGCGTGCCAAGGGCCGACTATGTGGTATTGTAACGGCCTTAACAGGTACAGAGTTGTATCGATTGCCATGGCAGATGGCTGGGTGTGACAGATGCCATGCCACGTGGCTTGGAAGCTCTGTTACCATGGCGGGTGGCTGAGAACTGCGCTGCTTTGGCAGGCACCTGGGTGCGAGCGCTACCATGTGGTGGGTGACTGGGTGTAGCGGGTGGTAAGGAGCTGCGTTTGCTGTGGCGAGTGGCACCTGGGTGCGAGCGCTACCATGTGGTGGGTGTAGCGGGTGGTAAGGAGCTGCGTTTGCTGTGGCGAGCGGCACCTTGAACTGCAAGCAGACCGTGGGCTTGCGGTGCCGCGAGTTGAGTTTGAGGGACTCTTCGGGTGCCGCGCGGCCGGAGCTCGACTCCGACTCGAACAACTCGAACACAAAGTCCATCCTGTGGCACCCACGTGCAACAAACGGAGACAAAGATCCCACGTGTAGCCTTAACAGACTGTTGGGGCAAGTGCTGTTAGCGAGCATCCATGAAGGCCGGCACGGCACGCGAGGGAGTGGGTGACCAGCACCACGCTCGGCTGCCTTTGTCTCCCCAGTGGCAAAGTTTACACGCCGCACCAGCTACTCATTTGATGCTGAGTCGACCTGAGAGAGGCCCAGGACCGGTTCAGATCACCGTCGCTGATGTTGGCCATGAGCGTGAACCGAACCCGGGTCGCCGGATCTCGTAGCGCAGTGTGTTAACCACGACGCGGCCGCTCCCCCAGACGCGTACACACACAGAGGACTGACTGACTCAATCATCACCCACAACTCACCCAAGCTACTCAGCACGTGCCAGGCTGGCTCTCTCTCAGCACTAACAACATCTGTGTGTGATCCACTGCAGGCAGCCGCATGGAGCAGCAGCAGCGTGGCCACCGCCACCACCGCCCGGTTCTGTACCTGCTGTCCAGCACGAGGTTGAGGATGTCCTCACGAAACGTGTCTCTGTTCTTCTCCAGGAAGCCCTCCACGGTGTACAGCACCTGGCATTGGGGCAACATCATGAGCAACAATACCAGCACCAGCAGCAATCAGTACCATCGGCAGCGGCGTCATTAAATATGATGAAAATGCTTCTGGGCATCTGAATAGTTAAATTTAGACTTTAAACTTTCGTGACTGCAGGAATTCATATTCTTGGTTCTTTCGGTAAAGTCACGTAGATAGAAAACAAAAATCCAAAATAATAAGCAAAAAATCCACGACGTTTCGATCGCAACACAAGCGGTCTTCAGGTGGATGAAGACCGCTTGTGTTGCGATCGAAACGTCGTGTTTTCTTTGCTTTTAATTTTGGATTTGTGTTTTCTATCTACGTGACTTTACCTAAAGAACCAAGAATATAATATCTGCATAATTGAGAAGCTGGGCAAAGATGGCCACCCACCCCCTCGTGTGCTGTGCCGGCCTTCATAGATACCCGTAAACAGCACTTGCCCCAACACAGTCTGTTAAGGCTTTACACGTGATGTGCTTGCAAGTGTCTGTGTGTGGATGTGTGTCCGTGCGTGTCTGTGCGTGCGTGCGTACCTCTCCGGCATAGTGCTTGATCCCAAACTGGTGGTCGGCCATTCTGGGCTTTACGTAGAAGGAGTTGCTCTGAGTATGACACACACAGACTGGCTCACACCACCGTCTGTACCACCAGCACCAACACCACCACCACCACCGCTACACACGGCACCATCGCCACCATCCCTACCACCAGCACCATCGCCACCACCACTACACACAGCAGCATTACGCCTGGATATTTAGAGTTTGTATGTTCTCCTTGGTTGCGTGGATTTTTCCCCAGGTCCTCCGTTTTTTTTCCCTCCACACTTAAAAACGTGCGCTCAGACTATTTGGCTGCTGCCGTAAATGTCCACGTGATAAGCCACTCTGTTGAGCTATCATTTGTGGCCAGGTCGCTTCTGAAAACGGAGCTATGTAGCTCAGTGGGGCCCCTTACCTGATAAAATAAATGAAATAGTTGTAGTTTTATAACCACCATCAATACCACCAGCACCAACACCGCCCGTACCATAGGTGGTGAGTGAGTGGTGTGCGCGGGGTGAGCGCGTGGTGAGGCTCACCGCGTGCTCCCCATGGAGCTTGGCGAGCAGCGTGGCGTCCGTGCCCTTGGGGAAGCGGCTCTCCTCGTTCACCAGCGCCAGCAGCCCCAGCTTCTGCGGGGGTCACGGCCGGAGGTGGGTGGGGGATGGGGTTAAAGGTTAAGGGTTGTAGGGGTCAGGGCGATGGCAGGGATGGAGAGGTAAGGTTAGGAAGAAACGTCGCAGCTCAACAGAGGTCACGGCCCTGCGTCACGACTTCGATTGTGTAGCGTCTCGTCCGTTTACCGTCGCGTTTGTAGAGACGGAGGGTTGAGGGGGGAGGGAGGGAGAGGGTGGGAGGTAGAGACACAGGCTGGAGAGCGGGCCCCGGGACCTCACCTTCTCCACCAGGTCGAGGCACTCGCTGTTGTCCGTCCAGTTGATGTCTTCCCATGCAATGCCCTCCCTGCACAGCGAGGACACCATCGCCACCGCTCACTCATTACTACTCACCACTACCACCACTCAACACCCAGTACCACTCACGGCCATCACCACTAACTCACTACCACTCACCACTACCACCACTTGACACCCATTACTACCACCATTCATGACTACCATTACCACCACCACGCATTGCTACAACTCTCAATACGATTAACCAACAGCACTGCATGGCTATTCACCACGAAGTGGTGATGAGGTCACCACAGCGCTTGTGCCAGGCTAGGTGCACATTGAGGCCATTTGAAGTGTCGAAGGCTCGCTGACAGGTCATGCAACAGAACCAGGTGCAATGGGTTGACTGACTGAGATGCCTAATTGAGATGACTGGCAGATGCACCACCAGTGCTCCCCACTGTTCCCTCTCCGGCCAAACAGAAGCTGCTTAGGCGTGTCGCGTGCACAAGGCAAGACCCCCCCCCACGCATAGGCTTCACAAACTATTGAGTGAGTGACTGGTAGCGAGTAGCACCCATGAACGCCGGCGGGGCACACGACTGCCAGGATGGGGTAGGTGGCCAGCACCGCGCCTCGTGCACAAAGACCACGCCACGCGCTGTGGTCACGGTGGGGATTGCCGATTGGCGCCCTCTACCGGCAGCACCGGGTCCTGCGCGCACCGACACCAACACTCACTACCACTACCACGCACTACTACTACCACGCACTGCCACTACCACTCACTACCACTACCACGCACTACCACTACCACGCACTACCACTACCACGCACTACCACTCACTACCACTACCACGCACTACCACGCACTACCACTACCACTCACTACCACTTACTACCACTACCATGCACTACCACTACCACGCACTACCACTCACTACCACTCACTACCACTACCACGCACTACCACTACCACTCACTACCATGCAATACCACGACCACGCACGACCACTCACTACCACTCACTACCACGACCACTCACTACCACTCACTACCACTACCACGCACTACCACGCACTACCACTACCACGCACTACCACGCACTACCACTACTGGTGGCGACAGTGCTAGTCGTGGTGACGGTGGAGGCGATGGTGCTGGTTGATGGTGACGGTGGTGGTGGTGGTGACTGTGGAGGCGATGGTGGTGGAGGCGATGGTGGTGAAGGCGATGGTGCTGGTGATGGCGATGGTGGTGGTGACGATGGGGGCGACGGTGGAGGCGATGGTGCTGGTGGCGGTGGAGGCGATGGTGGTGACAGTGGCGATGGTACTGGTGGTGGCGGTGCTGGGACCTGTTGTACTCTAGCTGCTCCAGTGAAAAGATGTGCGTGTTGAAGTACTCCTGTAGCTTCTCGTTGGCGTAGTTGATGTTGAACTGCTCAAAGCGGTTCACCTACGCCACACGACGGACACGCGGTGGTTTAGAGTGCGGCACCGGGCTGTGCAGTGCATCGCGGTGCCGTATTGTACGGTACGACAGAGCGTACCGCGGCGTGGTCCAGCACGGCGCTGTGAGGTGTGGCAACACGGCGTGGCTACGGTTAGAAAGCGGAAGTCGCACGTCGTGACGCGCCGCGCAGTTTTCCGTCGATTCAAACGCGCGGGAAACCACGGCCGAGCGCGGTGGGAAGGCAGCCGGAGCCGCCCACAACCGCCCACGCTCTGCGGGGTCCTACACTGGAACGCGTTTCGTCGTGAACCCCACGAATGCGGGAGGAAACCGGCAGCGCGGGGAAAAACCCCACGCGTGCGAGGGGGCAACACCCTATCCCGCGCAGATAGAATGACGGGGGGCCCCGCAATCCATTAACCGCCATCATCCAGGGTACGGCTTCCACCTCGAACCGCCCTCGGGAAGGCAGTTTCGCAGAGACGGTGCTCAGCCGAGGCGGAGCGCAGCGACCGCCGCCGCCGCTCGGCAGACGTGCGGCGAACCCGCCCCCGTACCTCGAAGTTCTCGAAGCCGAAGATGTCGAGGATGCCGATGCTGTGGAAGGGCCGCGCTCCGTGCACGCGCGCGTTGATGCGCCGCACGATCCACGAGAAGCAGCGCTCGTACAGAGACATCGCCAGCGAGTCGCGAGAGTCCGCCGCCTGGCGTGGTGTGGGGGTAGGGACAGGGTGGGGGGGGGACAGAGTGGGACACAGGCGGACAGAGGCAGCCGCCACCTGTCTGGCGCTGCGTCGGCAAAGTCCGGGAATCGGCATCGTCCGTGTCCTGACCGGAGCGGGAATTGATTTGTGCCGAGACGCGGTGCTGCTGACGTGTGGAGCACCGTCGCGTTGGCATGGCGATTCCACACACGATGTCACCTGCTCGCTCTCCTCACCTCCCTCTCCTCACCCCCTCACCTCCCTCTCCTCACCCCCCTCTCCTCACCTCCCTCTCCTCACCTCCCTCTCCTCACCCCCTCACCTCACCCCCTCACCTCCCTCTCCTCACCTCCCTCTCCTCACCCCCCTCTCCTCACCTCGCTCTCCTCACCCCCCTCTCCTCACCCCCCTCTCCTCACCTCCCTCTCCTCACCCCCCTCTCCTCACCTCCTCACCTCCCTCTCCTCACCCCCCTCTCCTCACCTCCCTCTCCTCACCCCCCTCTCCTCACCCCCCTCTCCTCACCCCCTATCCTCACCCCCTCACCTCCCTCTCCTCACCTCCCTCTCCTCACCCCCCTCTCCTCACCCCCCGTCTCCTCACCTCGCTCTCCTCACCCCCCTCTCCTCACCTCCTCACCTCCCTCTCCTCACCTCCCTCTCCTCACCTCGCTCTCCTCACCCCCCTCTCCTCACCCCCCTCTCCTCACCCCCCTCTCCTCACCCCCCTCTCCTCACCTCCCTCTCCTCACCTCTCTCTCCTCACCTCGCTCTCCTCACCCCCCTCTCCTCACCCCCCTCTCCTCACCTCCCTCTCCTCACCTCTCTCTCCTCACCCCCCTCTCCTCACCCCCCTCTCCTCAGCCCCCTCTCCTCACCTCCTCTCCTCACCTCGCTCTCCAGAACCGTCGCCAGTGCTCACCCCATGCCTCTCTCCCCCCTTCCCCCACTTCCTCTCACCTGTGCGATGGTGAGCGGCGTGCTGATCTCCTCTCCGCGGAGGGTCATGGACCGCTGGGTCAGCGCCTCGGCCAGCGGCTCCTCGTCCACGCCCAGCAGCTCGGCCGCACGGCACAGAGCTGAACCACAAAGCACCCAGAGAAGCACAACCACCAAGATAACCACAACCACCTGGATAACCACAACCACCAAGATAACCACAACCACCTGGATAACCACAACCACCAGGATAACCACAACCACCTGAATAACCACAACCACCAGGATAACCACAACCACCAGGATAACCACAACCACCAGGATAACCACAACCACCAGGATAACCACAACCACCAGCATAACCACAACCACCAGGATAACCACAACCACCAGGATAACCACAACCACCAGGATAACCACAACCACCAGGATAACCACAACCACCAGGATAACCACAACCACCAGGATAACCACAACCGCTTCAACCACCACCACTATGACTACAAGAGTGAACAGTCTACAAACCTCGTAACAAAACATTTGTATCTATTCATCAGGCCTGTAGATAATCACCTGCCCACAGACCCCCACCGTCTCCCCCCCATCACCATCACTGAAGGACACCTGAGCACCCCCCCCCACTGCCCCCCCCCACTGCCCCCCCCTCACCACCACTGGAGGACACCTGCGCGCCCCCCGCCGTAGCGAACTCGATGTTCCCCACGAGCAGAACGGCCGAAAGCAAGCGCAGCACCTCCCTCCTCTCCTCTGCCGAGAAGCACATCGCCTCCATCGCGCCCTGTGGGAGCGGGGACGTTACAGCGGCGTTAGAACACCACCGCTCCCTAGTGGCGCGTTAAACCAGACACGGCACATTCCCCCCTGATTTCAGGCCACGTGTGAAAGTGCACACCCCTAGGGTGGGGGCACCATCCCCCCCCCCCTTCCAGCGCTAACCCCCTAGGTGCTCCTCCCACAAAGCAAGCGGGCGAGCCCCCTCCCCCCCTTCTGACCCCTGAGCCTCGACAGTAGCGGACGACCTCACGCGGCCGCGAGGCGGTGGGCACTCCCCTTGGCCTCCTCCTCCTCCACCCACGAGCATCTCCAGCTCAGAGGGCCCCGGTGGGCACAGCCAAGGGGGCGAGAGGCGCACGCCCACGTGCCCACGTGCCCACGTGCCCACGTGCCCACGTGCCCACGTGCCCACGCGCCACTTCATCGGAACGTCTGGGGAGGCGGCGGCGCGGCAGTTTGGTGCGCCGCGCTACGAACCCAGCCGCCCGCGGTCCCACCTCCGAGTCGTTCTCTCCCTTCGACGGCGAGCGCAGGCCGTGCGGCGGCGCGTTGCAAGCCCATCCCCGTTACAATTCACGCTTGTCGCTCTCGTCGTTCTCGTCGTGGCGCGGTGCGTGCGGAGTGGGTGCTGTGGCGTTCGTGGGTGTGGGCCGCGTCGTCACCATGACGTCCGTGTAGAGGCTCCGGTCGGCGCTGGGGTCGTCCAGGGCGCTGCTCGACTGCTTCAGGTAGTGGTAGCTCTCAGGGCCCGAGATGTGCAGCTCCTCTGTGGCCACGGAGACAAAGATTCCCACACGTATAGCCTTGAAAATACCGTTTGGGGCAAGTGCTGCCGAGCGAGTGGTAGGGCTGAACGATTAATCGATTTCAAATCGAAATCGCTATTTCAAACGATGTGAATAGCAAATCGCAAAGGCTGCAATTTTTTGCGGTTTGAAAAGTCCTATTATTTTTTTATTGGAATTGTTTGATTTTTTAATTATTATTATAACTTTATTTATTTAACTTAACAATTGTTCTGTTTGCTTGTTCTATTTCAATTGAAACATTATTATAAATACATGTTGGAAGCAATGCATATCTTTTAAGTTCTCATCCTTGCATTAGAATATATAGAACAGTTCATATTTTGATGGTATCATGTGGTAAAGCTCCATCACATGTTTTAAATCTATTACACTGAATATTGAACTAAAGCTTGACTCAAATCTCAATATCTGTCAGAAAAATCGCAATTAGATATTTTCCCCAAATCGTCCAGCCCTAGCGAGTAGCACCTACGAAGGCCGGCACTACACGCGAGGGGGTGGGTGGCCAACGCCACGCCCGGCCGCCTTTGTCTCCACAGCGAAGATGTTTACACACCGCACCCACGTACTAATTTGAGTCTGAGTCGGCCTAGGGGAGGCCCATGACCGTACAGCGTACGCACGCAGTGGCTCCCCATCACGACACACGGTGGGGGGTGTTTGTGGGAGGGGGCAGCGAGACCTCGGAGTGCCGGGCAGGCCCCCCGCGTCATGGCGTAGAAAATGTGGAAGTTCCTCTCTCCCGGGTTCTGCCGCACGACGCGATTCTGGAACCACGACGACACCGCGTTAGCCACGCTTGCAGTCGCCGCCGCAATCGCCACCGCCACAACCATCAGCGCCGATTATCACCACCACCACCACCACCACAACTATCACTACGATGATCAACATCATTACCAACATCATCAACATCCCCAGCATCATTATTTCCATTTTCACCACCGCCAACGCAACATTCATCACAATTTACACGATCATTATCACAATCTGTACCATGGCCATCATTACCACTCTCACTACCACCACCATCATCACTATTACCACCCCTATGACCATCATTACGACCACTAACATGGCTACCACCACCATCACTCTCACCCTCTCACCTTCTCCAGGAGGTCTGTAGTACGTGGTGGCCGAGGAGAGGTTGTGAGGTCAAGGGTCAACTGGGGTCGCACAGGGGGATCACAAGTCACACAGGGGGATCGCAGGGGCCTCTGCTGTCAACTCAGAGGCCAAGACTCATGAAGGGATATATCACATCACTCATGGCAATCGACCCCTGTGTGAGGGCAAATGGTAGAGCCAGGGTTACATCCTCAGTGGAGAATGTGTCCACCCGTGTTGGGATGAATGTGAACGTTGTCATCAATGTTCACGACTTGCCAGGCGATGGTGGCGTACACGTTAGCGTCGTCATCGTCGTTAGCGTCGGGGTTAGTGTGACGCTGACGATCGGAGTGAGCGTTCGGGTAAGGCTGTGGGTGAGGTGTGGCAAGGAGGAGTTGGAGGAGGAGGAGGACGATGAGCAGAAGGATACAGTGGAGGATGCGGCCGCCCTTGATCGTTCCCTGCCGGCAAAAGTTGAGCTGCACGAAGCGGCCAAAGCGGCTGGAGTTGTGGTTGTGCACCGTGCGAGCGTTCCCAAACGCCTCCATGATGGGGCTGCTCCACACGGGGGGGTGGGGGGGGGAGCGGGAGTGGAGGGTAGGGGGCAGCATGTGAGAGCGTGAGAGGGCAGTGGGAGCGAGAGAGGGCAGGGTGAGCGGGAAACGCGTGCGGAACAGAGGTCACCGGGAGAGTACACGGTGGGGGTCGACGTCCACACAGCCTCCGAGGTCATGGCAGGAGGTTCTCTCACAGTCTGTGTGGGTGGCGTGTGTCTGTGTGTCTGTGTGTGTGTCTGCAGCAACGTGCAGCAATGTGATAACTTGACTGCACAACAAAGTAAGTGACGATTTTCTGGACGAAGAAGCGCCGTGCCGGTGGGATGCGCGCGGCACCTGCTGTGCAGCACGGCTCGCTCCACGTGGGTGCTCGAGTCAAGGCGGGAGGACTTGGCGGAGGCCTGGCTCGCGGCCGACAGGAAGTCCAGGATGATCTTGGTGCTCTCCGTCTTGCCGGCTCCGCTCTCGCCGCTGATGAGACCACGCGGACGCACGGACACGCATACACGCGGACAGGCGGACACGTGGACACAAGAACACGCAACACATAGGAACAATGTGCAGGCACTCTTAAAGCATGCGTTAATTAGTTATTTATGTGTGTTGGGCCTGAACCTCAAAATAATCATCAGCTTCCCGGTGGAGAATTGCACAACAAAGTAAAAAGTAAATTAAGCTTTTTTTTAATTAAGACTTCCCATTAGCCGCACGGCCTTGCGGGAGTGCATAATTTCAGCAGCGTTGGTTCAATGTTTCGACACTCAGCGTCTCATCAGTGAAGGCCATAGCCTCTGAATGTTTGGCAGATCATGAGTATTGATTGGTTGCAGCAAGCCTGGACTCCTCACCAATATGTATTATTACCCTTGAACCAAAACACAAACACATCCTAACCCTAAAGCAAACTATGGGTGTGGTGCGGCAATGGGTGTGGCAATGTCGCGACGCTGGGCGTGTGGCAGTGTCACGCACCTGATGAGCACACACTGGCTGTCACCGTGCCGCCACAGGCCGCGGTAGCACTCCCCGGCGATTGCGTAGAGGTGGGGTGGCAGCTCGCCTAGCCGGTGCCTTCTGTAGGCCTCCATGCTGGCAGCGCCGTAGAGCCCCGCGATCGTCTCGTAGGGGTTGACGGCCGCCAGGATTGAGCCGATGTATGTCTGCTCCGCACCGCGGCGCACGGGGATCGTGTAAGTTACAACGACGCGTTTACTTGTGTGTACATCGCCGCGGCGTTGTGGTTCACGCAAATTGCATCTCTCACAGTCGCTCTGAGGAAGCACAGATGAGCGGCAAGGTCGCAGCAGCAGTCAGGCGGTAAGGAGCCGGCGTGACCAGCGATGGCCCAATCTCTCTGCGGTCCTCTATGAATGAAGACGTTTGCAGCCATTTAAAGAGGGTTTATGCATGTCAGAGGAAAATGGATCACCCGGAGAAAACCCCCATGTGACAGCAAAGGGGCAACGCTCTATCCCATACAAAATAGACCGATGGTATTGGTATTAGTCCACATTTTGCAGTTCTGCATTCTCCTGTCAAGCCACACCATGGCACCTCGACGCCCACGGGAAAGGATTTTCGCAACGTGTTGTGCGATCCGCCAATCCTCGCTGCTGCCACCACACAGTGCTTGGGGCGCCTTCGGTGGGCAAGGCGCCCCGGAGCGCTTCCCTGCTGAGCGGCTTGTTCGCCCAGAGCGCATCGTCATACCGGAAGCCAATCGCCCGAGGCGCTGCCTCGCAGAGCCTTGGGTGGGCGTGTCAGAATACAGCCAATCGGAGGCGCCGAAACCTTCCTGCGAACTCTCGGTGTGTGGCTCCTTGGCCGAGCCGGGTGCATCGTGAGGTTACGCCGCCGTTACGAGGCGCCCTGCGTCTTTGACCGAGAGCTAACGTCCGCCTCGCAGTCTTCGCCATGCACGGCAGAGCGCTCTGCCCGTTGAACGCACCCCTGGATTACAGGCCCCATGTGCCACCACCGCCACCATCAACACCACCACCGCCGCCGCCACTGCCGACACCACCACCATCATCACCACCACCGCCATGCGGGAGGAGAGCGCGGCACGGGGATCGCCGCGATACTTTTCAGGACTCGATATCAAATTTCACTTCACGACGATTCTCGTGATACCGGTTTCCCAGACCCATGGAATTGCATTTTACAGTTGTGTTGTGTTACTATTGTCTTATGTTCGTATTATGCTGTGTACTTCCAGTATTGGAATAAAAAAATTATTTTGGTGATGCTGCTGCTGCATTGGCAACGGTTCACAAACAACAAACAACAACAACAAAACACTCAACACTTTTGTCAACAACAACAACGTGTGGATGGTCTTAAAATATAAATATGTAAATATATACTTTTAAAATCGGGGGCGTTTTGGGCGATAGCCCCTTCTCCGTAGCTTGTAGAAGGGGCCACTACTCATAACATCACCCTATATTTATTTTAAGTCCAACGGTGTGTTGGGTTGTTTCTTCGGGAGGTTCCTGCGGGCCGACGTTGCTCTGCGTCGTCCCAACCGAGTCGCTCGACGCAACATTGGACGGCGCCAGCGGCGCCCAACGGCCTGCTCTTTGTCGGATGACGCCACAGGATCTTTTAACGTCCGCTCTGAAGCAGGCGGTGCGCCATTCGCGGTTGATGCGCTCCGCAGGATTAACCGGGGCGGCCGCGGGGCTCGAACCGCAAACCTCTGTGACGGAGCGGCAGGCACGCTTGCCGCTCGGGCCCCGCCAACAAATGTGCTTGAAAGATTTCGCTGTGGACTGTCGAATTGTTGGGAGAAACCAATCCACTATCCTCCCGCTAATTGGTGTCCAGTGTCACAGACCGAACGTGTTTTACCCAGAGCCTGTTCACCAAGCTAAAAACGCAAATTAATCTTGCGTATCTTACAGGACCCATATCGACGAACGGAGAGGGCCCTCGCCTGTGAACTTCTCGCCATTCGCCAGCGTTGGTTCAAGCAACCAAGGCCAACTCTGCTGATGAGACACTCAACGTGGAAACCGCTGCAGAGTTTCATTGCTTGTGTTGAACCCGCGCTGCTGAAATCATGCAAATCCCAGAATGCCATGCGCCCTGATGGGATGTGCACAACAACAACAAAAACTCCTTTTATACATTTCACATGGCTAGAAGGATACGTGGAGGGAAAATTGTCCGGCGATTAATTGAATTTCTTCCCAGAGGATGGCGTCACCCAACCAATTGTGAGAAGTGGGCCACTGTTCTATGCCCTTGGTCTGATTGTAATTCGAAAAACATTGTGATGTAACGCGCACATGATTTACCGATCCGGTCATTTCCTGCTTGACAGATACGATCTCTCTTTCACGCCATGTGCGGATAACCGATCCTGGAACACTTCCAGATGCCACCGACAATCGCCCCCCCAGCGCCCAGTAACTGTATTCGGAAACTTTCAATCGCTACCGGGGCCACACAACCTGTTCACCGAATGTCGCTTGGGGATTTTCCCATCGGTGAACCTCGACGCCGACGGCAGCAATTATTGTGGGGGGTCGGGGGAGGATAGAGAATGACACGGTCGGAACGTAGCGCGTTTCACGGCTCGCTGCGGAGGGTTAGCGGTTCGAGACTGGCGGCCATCCTGGTTAATACCATGCTTGGCTGTTGTAACGGTGGATGTTACAGATCCCGTGACATTACCCGAGAGAGAGAGAGAGAGAGTCGGCTCATTCCAGTGCCAGCGTCACGGTCCACATTTTCCATATAAAAAAAAAAACTACATGGCAAAAAAAAAAACTACCACCACGTAGCAACGTCACCCACCACCCCCTACTGGCAGACTATACTCGTCCGTGAAACATACCACGCATCCACGTGGTCGCCTCTGCTGCATGAATGGTGCAGAACACCGAGCGTGCGCCCTCCCCGTCTGCGGGAGCGCCGCGATTAATGACGCCATTGAGCGGCGTGCGGCCCTCAAACCCCGCCGCCGCATCTAGGGCATCGATCGCATTACCTGCCTCGATTTGCAAAACCTCCACGGCCACGTCGCCCGTGACGCCCGCTCTTCCCCCCAATCTCGTCAGTTCTCAGAAGCTAAGTGTAAGGATTAAGCCTGGATAGTGAATGCTTGGATGGGGCTACCACCACTGTGCATAACAGGTGTTATAGGTGGCGGAGATCTGGCTACGTTGTGGGCAGTGGCCAAAATCAACCGTCGTGCCTTCTGTGCTCGTACATTGACGGTTCCCGACTTCACTTCACTGACACTTGAGTGGAGTCATTCATAACAATAATAACACATAATAATAACATAATAATAACATAATAATAACCTCTATTTCATCAAGCGCCTTTCATTTTCAAGTATCTCAAAGCGGTGTGGGTGTATCACGTGTGTGGGTGTACCATGAGTGTGGGTGTATCATCAGCGTGGGTGTGCAGCTCACGTAGATGAGCTTGTGCCGGTAGCGGAGGTGCAGGTTGTGCAGGATGGCCCCCTCGTGGAGCTCCGCCAGGGAGCTCATGTCCTCCACCCCCTCGGGCCCCCAGGCCGGCATGGCCCGCACGTTCACTCGCGCCACGGAGCCGGGGGTCAGCGTGAACGTCTGTGCCGCGCGTGCAGAAAGAACGAAGGCAAAGGTCCACCGTGTGGCTTCTCACGACATTGTTGGGGCGAGTGCTGCAATGAAGGCCGGCATGGCACACGAGGAGATGGTTTGGCCAGAACCCACGCAATGCATGCGCCTTTACCGCTTGGAGTGGCGATGTTTACACACGGCACCAGGTACTCATTTGAGGCTGAGTCGACATAGGGGAGGGCCCAGGAACGGTTCTGATAATCGTTACTGCTATTGATCTTGAGTAGGAATCGATCTCTGGTTTCCGGGTTCACACACCACATCCACACACACACACCAACACGCAGACTGACACACACACAAATACAGACGGACACACACACACCAACACACAGACTGACACACACACACATAAATACAGACGGACACACCGACACACACACAAAGACTGACACACACACAGACACAGACGGACACACACACGTGGATGCTCTCTGTAAAAGGGTTATTCTTTACTCTTGGGTACACATTGAGAAAGGGTACCCAGCCTTCCTGGGTGCACCTTGTAAGTTCGCTCACACACTCAGTGACCCCGCTGGGTCCATCCAAGGGGATGAGGGGCCCCCCCGGGGGTAAGAGGGGTGACTGCCACCCTCCCCACAGGGGACACGGGGGGGGTGGGGGGGGGGTTGCTCGGGAGAAGCGAGCCATGTCCTCCGGGCCACCAGGTGACTGAGTGGGCGACCGAGTGGGCGACCGAGCGGATGACCGAGCGGATGACCGTGCGGGTGACCAAGTGAGTCACTGAACGGGTGACCGAGTGGGTGACTAAGTGGGTGACCGTGCGGGTGACTAAGTGGGTGACCGTGTGGGTGACTAAGTGGGTGACCGTGCGGGTGACTAAGTGGGTGACCGTGTGGGTGACTAAGTGGGTGACCGTGCGGGTGACTGCACGGGTGACCAAGTGGGTCACTGAGCGGGTGACCATGTGGGTGACCACGCGGGTGACCAAGTGGGTGACCACGCGGGTGACCAAGTGGGTCACCGAGTGGGTGACCTAGCGGGTGACTAAGTGGGTGACCGTGCGGGGGACTAAGTGGGTCACCGAGCGGGTGACCGAGCGGGTGACCAAGTGGGTGACCATGCGGGTGACCGTGAGGGTGACCGTGTGGGTGTTTTTAGACAAAACCTTGGGTATTTTAAGGAAACATGCGCAAGGCCACGGAAGCCGGGACACACTTCCACCCCCTGACAGATGCACACACACAAGACAAAGGTCCCCCGTATAGCTTTATTGACTGTCCAGTGAACATGCAACGTAGTGTTGTAGGAAGTGCTGTTAGGGAACACCTCTTACGGCAAGCAAGGCACAAAAGGAGGTAATGTGGCCACCACCACGCCTGGCCGCCTTTGTCTCCCCGGTGGTGATGTGTTTATACACCGCACCAGCTACTCGTTTAAGGCCAAGTCAACCTAGGAGAAGCTTAGGTCTGGTTTGGATATCACTCGCCGCTGATGTTAGCTGTCGCGGCAATCGAACTCAGGTTGCCGTATGCACACACACACACACAAAGACAAAGATTCCCCCTATAGCCTAACAGACTGTTCGGGCAAGTGCTGTTAGCGAGCACCTATGAAGGCCGGAACGGTACACAAGGTAGTGGGTGGCCAGCACCGCGCCCGACCGCCTTTGTCTCCCCAGTGGCGATGTTTGCACACCGTGCCAGGTACTCGTTTAAGGCTGAGTCAACCTAGGGGAGGCCCAGGACCGGTTTAAAAAATAGTCACTGGTGTTGGGTGTGAACGGGTCACCGAGTTGGTAGCGCAGCACGCTAACCGCTACACTACCGCTCCCCACACACACACACGCATACACACACACTAACGTACACAAACACACACTCCCACGTACATCTATATAAACACAACAAGAGTAAACACACACGGGCGCGTGTACGCGCGCGCCACACATTTACCCAACGCAGACACAATGACACCCGGATACACACACAGTTGCAAATGCACATCACGTGCGTGCACACAGACCATGTACAATTGTTGTTGCCATTGCAGGAGACATCACCACGGCGGTACACTCCACTGCTCCTCGCGCGGTTATCTGGCTTGACCACCGGAACGTGAAATTGTAGTTGTTGTTGTTCCGCGATCTACATCGGCCGTACGGAAGTAGAAGATCCGTGAATAAAGACGATTGTCGTTGTGCGTGTTGACCCAGGAGAGTGTGAATGAGCCTTGAGACTCAGCAGGGTCCTGCCAAGTTCAGTGTGTGAATATTCATTTATACTGGAGAAATCAGATGAGCTGTAAAGCTCTTTTGTTTGCGTAGCGGGGGGTGGGTGATGTTGCTGCGGCGTGCGATCCCAACCGAGTAATTTGTAGTTTGAGCGCGATACCGATGACATTGTCCGTGGTTTCTTTTGTTTAGCTATGGGAGGCAACCAGAGCACCCGGAGGAAAACCTTGCAGTACAGGGGGAGAACATTCACACTCCCACTCACTCACACTCACTCACTCACACTCACTCACACTCACACTGCACTCACTCACTCACTCACCCACTCACCCACACTCCCACTCACCCACACTCACTCACTCACTCACCCACCCACTCACCCATTTACTCACTCACCCACTCAACTACCCACTCACTCACCCACCCACTCACCCATTCACTCACTCACTCAACCACCCACCCACTCATCCATTCACTCACCCACTCACTCACCCACTCACCCACCCACCCATTCACACACTTATCCACCCACCCACTCACGAAATTGAGCCTCATCCTGGTCGCTTGACTCCTCACGTTGTCCAAACAGTCGCCTCCGTCTCAACGCGCTCCCGCCTGCCTCACGGAGGCAACTCTCGCACGCAGGGGAACAACGCCGACCCCGGTGGCTCCGACCGTCAACCCGGCAGGAGACATCATCCTGTGCCCCTCGTGCCCCCCGTGCCCCCCCTACCCCTCGTGCCCCCCCTACCCCCCGTGCCCCCCGTGCCCCTCGTGCCCCCCCTACCCCCCGTGCCCCCTCATACGCCCGTCGCGGTGCTTCCACGTTCACCATCCCGCCGCCGCCGTCGCTCCTCCTCCCACGAGGAGGAGGAGCGACGCGGCCCGCCCAGCAGCGGCCGAGCGCCGCTCGCTCAACGCCGCGAGTTTCCGTGGACACGCGAATAAAACGCGAGCAACAGGAGTGGCATTTACGGACTAAATCTAAGTCATGTGGGCCGCTGGCGGAGCGCACAATCAGGCGCCTTTGTGATGAGCAGGGCTCGCTACTCCCCCACCCTCCTCCTCGTCCTCCCAGCTACATCTGTCATGTGAACCCTCATATCCCCCTCCCTGCACCTCCCCCCCCTATACTGCCCCGGCCTCCACAGCCACTGCCCCCCCCCTACGCACTCTCCTGCCAATGCCTTCAGTGTGTGGGGGCAGCCCGGGGCATTACCACCCCCATGCCCCGGCCTCCCTTAACCCCCCCCCCCCCCCACTACTACCGCCCCCCACCCACGCCCAACGTTGTCTGTCTGAATGAGCAGCTCCACGTGGTGTCGGACGTACATTTTCGACTCTTGGGACACGTGGTTCATCTCGATGGGTATCATCGCGAAGTGGCCTTTCGCCTTGGGGCACAGGGAGCCAACCGAGTTGGACTGCGATGCAGAGAGAAGCCACGTGTCCGGCTGTCTACACGGCGGGTCTTTGTCTTCGCGTGACGATAACTCAGCGAGTTTCACGTCCGCAGCGTCAGACCACAAAGCCATTGTCTTATTCCGTAAGCAAATGTCATGGTTTTTTTTTCTCTCTCTCTCTCTCTCTTCAACTGCATCATCTTCAACCGCGCATTACGAGTGGCTAGATGTTGTGAGCGAGGCCGCCTGCTCCGCGCAACTGCCCTGAGATGTGGCAACAAACCCAACGCCTCCACAACAACTCCAAGAAGCTCTCCTCCACCTCCCCCCCCCATTCCAATCAAGCATCGATTTTCCCCCGCGTGCTGCCGTCGCCGGCGCAGGCTACGGAGGCTACGCGGTGACGAGATGCGCAGACATCCGCAACTGAACCCCAGGCGGGAGTTCGTTGAGGCTACCGGGCTCACTTGTCCGGCCGGAGAGCTGAAGAGACAGAGGGGAGAGCTGGGACGATGGAAGGGAGAGCTGGGGAGATGGATGGGAGAGATGGGGAGATGGAAGGGAGAGCTAGGAAGATGGAGGGGAGAGCTGGGGAGATGGAGGGGAGAGTTGGGGAGATGGAAGGGAGAGCTGGGGAGATGGAAGGGAGAGCTGGGGAGATGGAAGGGAGAGCTGGGCAGATGGAAGGGAGAGCTGGGGAGATGGAAGGGGGAGCTGGGGAGATGGAAGGGAGAGCTGGAAGATGGAAGGGAGAGCTGGGGAAATGGAAGGGAGAGCTGGGTAGATGGAAGGGAGAGCTGGGAAGATGGAGAGGAGAGCTGGGAAGATGGAGGGGAGAGCTGGGGAGATGGAAGGGAGAGCTGGGGAGATGGAAGGGAGATGGAAGGGAGAGCTGAGAGATGGAAGGGAGAGCTGGGAAGATGGAGGGGAGAGCTGGGGAGATGGAAGGGAGAGCTGGGGAGATGGAAGGGAGAGCTGGGGAGATGGAAGGGAGATGGAAGGGAGAGCTGAGAGATGGAAGGGAGAGCTGGGAAGATGGAGGGGAGAGCTGGGGAGATGGAAGGGAGATGGAAGGGAGAGCTGAGAGATGGAAGGGAGAGCTGGGAAGATGGAAGGGAGAGCTGGGGTGACGGAAGGGAGAGCTGGGGAGACGGGGGTGACGAGAGTGCGGCACCGCAGGAGTGCCGTACTATTTTGGGTCAAAACAACAGCGCAGAGTTGGGGAAATATTGAGCAATGGATGAGAGAGAGAGAGAGCCGTGCACGTAAACAGAACAATAAATCAAATTAAAAAAAAATCTAGAATTTTATACAAGCCCACGCCGGCTTTGTCCACTTCACTCGCTACAGATTTGCCACCCACTCACCTCCCGCCTCCCCAGAAACGTGGTGAATCATCATTGTTTTGCGGGGGCGGGAGGGTCACGATTCGATCCCAGGATCGATTCTCATTTCAATTTCACGCTCAGGCTCTCGTGACCGATATCGTGATTCGTGCCATATTTGGTTTCTTATTTGGGTTATGGATCCTGTCACGTGAGTCCGACGTCAGTGCTTAACTAAGAACCCTTCGCCACCCAGCGACAGGGCCAATCAAATCGAGTTGGCACTTCGTGGGAAAATGTGCCGATTGATATGGTTCATCAGCAAACCCGGAGGAGGAGGAATATTCAAAAGCCAGGGAGGTGCTGGCAATGATCACGAACGACGTTTCGTAGGAGACTACCTCCGGCGCCATCGGCGTCGACAGGAGTTCGGCTCTCGCAAAGGAACAAACACCCTTGGCCCGAAACGTCACCTATTACAGGTTTCCCTCCCTCTATGCGGCGGTCGTAGATGCTCTCCAAAACAAGGTCGCAACAAAGCGAAGCCGCGTGACACGTCTGCCTCCCAAGCAGCGTGCACCGTGCACACAAATCGTCGTCTCACGTCCGAACCGCACGATCGCATGCAGAGTGAATTCAAACGGCGAAGGGGAAAACAGGTTAGCCGCATATGCAGTTGGCAAAATGGCGCGCAAACCGAACCCGCATGGAGCGAAGGGACACAGGTAAAGATTCACGTGCCATGAAGAAGGCCCCTTGTCTGAAACATCGCCTATATTTTTTTTCTTTTAAGGCCATCATCTCCGGAGCGGTCACCACCACCCATATCTGGAGGTAAAATCTTTCATCTGACAACACTAAAATCAAGCGCCGCCACTGCCCCCCGCCCCCCCCCCCCCCCCATGCAGGTCACTGACCCCCACACTCCCCCCCCCCCCCTAAACTCTTGCTCCATTGCCCTCATTGACAGGGTCAATCAGGGACACAGCCCCCCCACGTGCCTCCCAGCTCCTCCCCTCAATCCCCCACGGCCCCCCAGCCCCACCCCCCCACTTCACATCCCCCCCCCCCCACCATTCCTACCCTCCACCCCTTCCCGACCTGACCCCAACAGCTGCTTGGAGCTATTGAGAGGGGACCACTAACAGCTGTCACTCCACGACAGACAGCAGCTCCTACGGACACTTCAGCAGCCCCAAACAGCTCCAATAGCATCCTCGAGCACCCCCACAGCTACTGTAGTAGCCCCTCTAGATGCTGTACCTCCGATAGCACCACTGTCGGCTCCTGTAGATGCTACAGCTCCTGTATGTCCTACAGTAGGCCTCACAAGCCCACACAGAAGCTGGGGTTGCCCACCCGTCTCTGGCAGCGCGGGAATCGGCGTCGGTGCTGGGGTGGCAGCAGGAATTGATTTGTGCCGAGACCCGGTACCGGTGTAGCCGCCGTGTGGGGCGCTGTCGAGTGGCTCGGCGATCGCGCGCACGCTAATTGGAACAGGAGACCACGGGGTTCTGATAAGTGACCCCCCCCCCCCAGCGTGCTGAGTGAGGCGCGCGTCGGGGCTTGCTCAGTGGATAAAGTGGCGACCCCAAGAGAGGTCCCACAGTGGGCACCCCTAGGCCTAGGCCTGTAACAATCCACATCTCTCACGATTCTACATCCCACACGAATTCACATCCCTAAACGAATCGTCATAAACCGGGGGGTGGGGGGAGGGGGGTCACGATTCGGGGTCACAATTCCGTTCCGTCTCGCAAACCTCCGAGCCGCCGGTGGCCTCCACGTCACCGTCGAGCCCGTCGTCTCTGGAGCCAGAGGCGGCGATCGAAGTTCCTCCGTCGAAACTCCGCTCGTCTGGAACTCACTCCTCCGATTAGCACCGTTGGCTCGGTACGGTGCGAAAGTTCAACATAAGTTAACATACATCCAGACAACTCACTGCCTCCTCCTCCTCTCTCACCGCACCACAACAAGGGCGTCGGTGCCGTCACGTCCGTCAGATTCTCTACACTTCTCTCTTTTAGCGCATTCTCCCGCGCCTACCAACGTCCTTCGTGCAGTGACATTTCTCGCACGTGACAAATTGAAGAACGACCGAACGATGTCCAAGAGCCACGCGCGTTCAGGCGGTGCGAGAGCCCAGGAGTGGCAGAAACGGCGAAATTGTTCCACAGCGTAAAACAATAAAGGGACTGTGCGGCGCACACGAACAGCACCGCCCCCCGTGTGACTATCAGCTTCACCAGCGCACGCGTTTCTGGGCATTCAAAACATTCCACAGTCCCTGCACATGTGTGCGCGTGCATGCGGCGGGTCCAGTGGTTAGCGCAGCGCGCTAAGAACCAACCGGCTCCCCCTCGGGAAACGTGGCCAGAAATCTGTCTTACGCCGTCATTTTTTTTAAATGAATAAAACGAGACTGATGGCTGTACGAAAACAACAAAAAAGAACCCGCCGACCCGAGTTCGATTCCCGCTCGTGACCAATAACAGCGGCGGATATTTCAACCGGTGCTGGGCCTTCCCCGAGGTCCACTCTGCGTCAAACGAGCACCTGGTGTGGTGTGGACAACATCAACACTGGGGAGACAAATGCGGCCGGGCGTGGTGCTGATCTCCCACCCCCTCGTGTGCCATCCGGGCACACATAGGTGCTACTCGCTAACAGCACTTGCCCCCAACAGCCTGCTTAAAGCTACATGGGGAATCGTTGCCTTTGCGTGCGTGGGGACTGTTTTTGCTGTTTGGAATTTTTATATTAAAATTGCAGTAATTCTATTTGATGTTGCCAGGCAGCACGGGGAGTCACAGTTATTGAGCAAGCACGGCAAAAGTCCTGGGTTTGAGTCCCGGTAAAAGCCCCACCAATAACTAAATCGGGATCTCAAGTTTAGCAAGGCTGGGGGGGGGGGAGGGGTTGCTTGATCACCAATGACTCCACAGAGATACCCAGCACGTTACAATGTGGTTCTGCACTCGACTTAGTGCGGCTTATCCCTTCTATTCAATGTCAGCTCGAACGGTTGTGCTAAGAAACACAACTCTCGTATGCAGAGCGGGAAGGTGAGTGCAGCCCCCGAATGTGTGGACTAGAGGTCACCGGAAGAAGAAGAAGAAGAAGGATCGGAGGTAGCTCTATGATACCTGCTTCCGTGGACCTTTCTGTCACACTGAAAGGGGGGTAAGTAGCACTGCCCTGTCGGGGATCGGAATTAAACTTTGTTGCATAAAATGGGGCGGGGAGGGTGAGTGGAAATGCCAGAAAAGTAATAACTGCTTTGACCGCCGTACGATGAGCCACGTGTGCATCAGGCGATGTGGGAAGTGCTCAAATGTCGACGTGATCCACCAACCCTTGCCTCCGAAGCGCCTAATCACCGACGACTGGAAGGATCGCGAGCATCAGAGTGAAGGTGTGGCGATGAGGTTGATGAGGTGGGGAATGTCAGCGGTTTGGGGTGAGGAGGGGGACAGGATGGGGGGTGAGGGGGTGGCAATGGGTGAGCTGAACTCCTCACCTGGCCATAGTCGGAGATGAGGACGAGGGATCCGCCCTCACTCGCCACGACGCAGCACGGGAGGAGCAGCTCACCATCCCTCACCCACACGCGCTCACCCTGCACACGACACAGGGAGACACGGGCTGCGTCACTCACCATCCCTCACCCACACGCGCTCACCCTGCACACGACACAGGGAGACACGGGCTGCGTCACTCACCATCCCTCACCCACACGCGCTCACCCTGCACACGACACAGGGAGACACGGGCTGCGTCACTCACCATCCCTCACCCACACGCGCTCACCCTGCACACGACACAGGGAGACACGGGCTGCGTCACTCACCATCCCTCACCCACACGTGCTCACCCTGCACACCACTCACACAGCTCACCATCCCTCACCCACACGCGCTCACCCTGCACACGACACAGGGAGACACGGGCTGCGTCACTCACCATCCCTCACCCACACGCGCTCACCCTGCACACGACACAGGGAGACACGGGCTGCGTCACTCACCATCCCTCACCCACACGCGCTCACCCTGCACACGACACAGGGAGACACGGGCTGCGTCACTCACCATCCCTCACCCACACGCGCTCACCCTGCACACCACTCACACAGCTCACCATCCCTCACCAACCGCCACTAATCCGCACCAAAGCGGCCACTCTCCACCCTCCAATCGCCGTCCTCACCCTCCCCCCCAACTCTCCCCCACCACCTCTGCCCCCCCCCCCCAATCATCGCCCGGGGGCTGCTGGACGGCGTCGCGACGCTCCTCGCCGGGAGTCGCCGACGCCGCCGACGCCGCCGCCGTCGCCGCCACCACCACCACGCACGTTCTCCGACGACGACGCTCCGACGACGTTCCGCGTTGGAGGCCTCGCGAGGGGGCTCGGCCGCCGCTTTCTACCCACGAGCCAATTTCAATGTCACGACACTTCGGAGTTGGAGCGACGGTCTCCCGGCGGCGCCTGTTATACCTTCTACGCGCAACGAAACTCGCAGACGTTTCTCAACCCACGAATGAAGGCCCCCTTCCACGCCGTGTGGCCAATGGGGGTTGGTCAGTCACTGGTTGGCCATTCCGGTTAGCCTTGCTGGCCAGTGCGGCTTAATGGGAGCGCCTAGGACTGGTTCGGATATCACTCGCCCCTTCCCCTGACCAGGAATTAAACCGGTTTGTCTCACCCACTCGGTGTTCAACCACATCCACGACACTGCAGGTCACAACAACACTACCACTCACTCTCCCACTCACTCACTCACTCTCCCACTCACTCACACACTCTCCCACTCACACACTCTCCCACTCACACACTCTCCCACTCACACACTCTCCCACTCACACACTCACATACTCTCCCACTCACACGCTCTCCCAATCACTCACCCCCTCACACACTCTCCCACTCACACACTCACATACTCTCCCACTCACACACTCTCCCAATCACTCACCCCCTCACACACTCTCCCACTCACTCACTTATACACTCACACACACTCCTACTCACTCAGACACTCTCCCACTCACCCACTTGGTGTTCAACCACCATCACACTACAGGTCACAACAATACTCTCACTCAATCACTCACACACTCTCCCATGCACTCACCCACTCACTATCCCACTAACTCAGCACACTGCAGGTAAGCTCACGTATCTAGATGCTTCTTCCCGTACACTGCTCCACACAGGAATCTCCTCCTTATATCATCGTCATCGTCGTCATCATCTCTGTTGCCCCGAGAGCTCTTACAACAACAACCTCGCTCAATTCAAGAAACGTATCCACCTTGATCGATTACAGCTTTAACGGTGCTGTTTGTTGCTGGTCGCTCTGCGCTTGGGGGGGGGGGTCTTTGGGCCCGGTGCTCAGCAACCGGTGTTAACGATGATCCTGCAGGGTTGCTGGGTTGACAGGGCGGCGCGCTAACCACTGCACCACCGCTCGACCCCCTGTTCAATTACTCGCGAGTGTAAAGGGCAGCGATAATTAGAGAAACTGTTACCGTCGGGAAACGCAGCGGCACTCGGTTACCCGAGCAATTAGAGCAAACGGAAGCAACTGCGAGGAATATCCAGCGTCAAGTTCTTGCACAAATATCACGGACAGAGCTCAGTGGAAGGAAGAGGCCAGGCTCGTTGACGCCTTTGAGAAAGGACTTGGCAGAGAGAGCTAGACTAACATTGCCCATAGACTAGCATTGCCCATAGACGAGCATTGCCCATAGACGAGCATTGCCCATAGACTAACATTGCCCATAGACTAGCATTGCCCATAGACTAGCATTGCCCATAGACTAACATTGCCCATAGACGAGCATTGCCCATAGACTAGCATTGCCCATAGACTAACATTGCCCATAGACTAACATTGGCCATAGACTAGCATTGCCCATAGACGAGCATTGCCCATAGACTAACATTGCCCATAGACTAACATTGCCCATAGACTAACATTGGCCATAGACTAACATTGGCCATAGACGAGCATTGCCCATAGACGAGCATTGCCCATAGACTAACATTGCCCATAGACTAGCATTGCCCATAGACTAGCATTGCCCATAGACGAGCATTGCCCATAGACTAACATTGCCCATAGACTAACATTGCCCATAGACTAACATTGGCCATAGACTAGCATTTCCCACCCACACACACAAACTGTCACACACCTACACACAAACTCCCACCCACACACACAAACTGTCACACACCTACACACAAACTCCCACCCACACACACAAACTGTCACACACCTACACACAAACTCCCACCCACACACACAAACAACTGTCACACACCTACACACAAACTGTCACACCTACACACAAACTGTCACACACCTACACACAAACTGTCACACACCTACACACAAACTGTCACACACCTACACACAAACTGTCACACACCTACACACAAACTGCCATCCACACACACAAACTGTTACACACCTACACACAAACTCCCACCCACACACACAAACTGTCACACACCTACACACAAACTCCCACTCACACACACAAACTGTCACACACCTACACACAAACTCCCACACACAAACTGTCACACACCTACACACAAACTCCCACCCACACACACAAACTGTCACACACCTACACACAAACTGTCACACACCTACACACAAACTGTCACACCGACACACAAACTGTCACACCGACACACAAACTGTCACACACCTACACACAAACTCCCACCCACACACAAACTGTCATACACCTACACACAAACTCCCACCCACACAAACTGTCACACACCTACACACAAACTGTCACACCGACACACAAACTGTCACACCGACACACAAACTGTCACACACCTACACACAAACTCCCACCCACACACACACAAACTGTCATACACCTACACACAAACTCCCACCCACACACACAAACTGTCACACACCTACACACAAATTGTCACACACCTACACACAAACTGTCACACCGACACACAAACTGTCACACCGACACACAAACTGTCACACACCTACACACAAACTCCCACCCACACACACACAAACTGTCACACACCCACACACACAAACTGTCACACACCTACACACAAACTGTCACACACCTACACACAAACTGTCACACACCTACACACAGATACAGTACACACAGGCCCGCTGCACCTACACCCGCGTCTCACGCACTAATTAACCCATGCAGAGGGGGGAGAACGAATGAGGGTGAGAGAGAGAAGGTGAGAGAGAGAGGGTGAGAGAGAGAAGGTCAGAGCGAATGAGAGAGGGTGAGCGAAGGTGAGAGAGGGTGAGAGAGAGAGAGGGTGAGAGGGTGAGAGAGAGAAGGTGAGAGAGAGAGTGAGAGAGAGAGGGTGAGCGAAGGTGAGAGAGAGAGGGTGAGAGAGAGAGGGTGAGCGAGAGAGAGCGAGAGTGTGAGAAAGAGAGTGAGAGAGAGAGGGTGAGAGAGAGAGAGACGTACAACCGCATCGGCGACCTCAGCTGGAGCATCGCCCACGGCACCGTCACCACCAATGCCTCCCTGGCGCGCTTCACCGACACGTTCCCGGAGTGCCGGTTCTGCGGTAAAGTGGAGACGGTGGCGCACCAATACGTGGAGTGCAAGAGCCTCGACTCGCTGTGTTCAAGGTCCTGAGAAACATCCTCCTAAGGTTCAGCCTCCACTTCTCCCCGACGGTCCTCATCTTTGGATACCCGAAGGGCGACGGACCCCATCATCTTCAGGGGCTGGTCAACGTGCTCTTCGGCTATGCCAAGCTCGCCGTGTACAGGGCGAGGAAGGTAGCCCTGGAGGGGCAACGTCCGGCCAGCAGCCTGGGCATCTTCCGCGCTCTGGTCGGAGCCAGGGTGTGGCTGGAGTTCCACCATGCGCGGCTGACCCACGCCGTGCCGGCCTTCAAGGAGCAGTGGGCGCTGGAGGAGGCCGTGTGCTCGGTGGCAGATGACGGAGAGCTCTGCATGCAGATATAAATTACCCGTCGGAGGCCATTTGACTGTGGGAAGGGCTGCGTGCAGATGCAGCACTTGTAGATATAAAAATCAATCTTTTGTTGGGTCTTTCATTTAAAGGGGGGGGGGGGGGGGGTTAAAAAAAGCAAAGCATTAAAAAAACGAAATGATGAACGAAGCAAAGTGCCGACTACATCGAGCATCTTCTTGTTTCCTCTGATCGTAAAAAAAGAGAGAGAGTGAGAGAGAGAGTGAGAGAGAGAGTGAGAGAAGGTGAGAGAGAGAGTGAGAGATGAGAGAGAGAGAGGGTGAGAGAGAGAGAGAGGGTGAGAGAGAGGGTGAGAGGGAAGAACCGTGCCCGGGGCTGTGTGTAATCCGTGAAGTGCACGGCTCTGGATTAGTCCACGGCTTCGCCATTATGAACCCGTCAGGGCGTAAGCACGCACGGGTGCGGCACGGGAATTCACGTCCGCCAAGGTCAGGTTTATGGTTAGACCTCGATTAGGGTGTCAGTTAGATCTTGGTAGTTCGGGTTAGGGTTTGACCTCGTACCGTCATTATTGGTTAGCACCCTAGTTGAGCAATTAGGATTGGGATTACTGGTTAGCAATATGGTTTAGCAGTTAGTATTAGACCTATCACTGGGGTTACTAGTGTTACAGTTGAGAGGTTTGGTGTCGTGGTTGGTGACTGCACACACACATCCACATTCAGTTCGGTTCTGCACTTAATTTGGCAAAAAATTCCAGCTTTGAGAATTTTAAATATTTGTTTGGCTGCTACGCCGCGACCATCGCTCTCATGCAGCAGAGCAGGCGGGGAAGTGCCGCCCCCTACTGAGTGAGCCAGAGCGACACTTAAAGAAGAAGGGCTCTCATAGGTAGATCTGTGATATCCACTTCCGCGGGCCG